AAAAGCCACCCTAGCCTGCTTGCCGTGCTGCCCAGGCTGCCTCCGGGGGCCAGTGCGTGGGGCGGGGTGGGGCGGCTTGTCCCGTCCCCGCCGGGGACCTTGCCGGGGACCACGGCGAGATCATATTGCTTCCCATTCTCCTGCGCACGGTCCGGCCACGCTGGCGTATTCCGTGGTGGAGCCCGTGGACCCGTGGACCCGTGGGCCCGTGGCCACACCGGCTGGACGATCCTAATGAGAAACCGAACCGCCGCCGGTCGTCGGTCGGCGTCAAGGTAGCCCTTCCCGAGGGACGGGGGAGGAGGGTGGTCGAGGAGGCTTTCGCGTTGTTGTTTTGGAGCTTCTGTCCCGCGGGGGACTCGCCTGGAACTCGCCCGCCCGCGAGGGGGGGCTCGCTCGGGGGGCTCGCCCGGGGGGCTTGCCCAAGCAAATACGGGTTTTATATAACGCCCAAGCCGCGTGTCGTGGTTTCTCAGTTAAAAAAAAACTACACTGTCATCCGACGCATGTGGCGTAATATTGTTAGTGTGCCCTAGTGGATACCTTGCAGCCCACGATTATTAAGGCCCTTCACTCGGAAGTATAAAGTCGACAAAATTGAAATCAAATGAATTTGCTGCAATAATTTGGGTCAGTTTGGGTCGATGTTTTTTCTGAGTGCGTCCCCAGTCTTCTGGACTTACCTCGGAGTTCGGCTACGGTCGGGATGGAGAGGAGCGGAACGCAACTTTGTGTACCGATAATTTTCTCCGGGTTGACGCAGGAGGCGACTTGAAAAGCGTGCGTGGCGGGGGTCGGAAAAAGCGGGGGAGGCCCTTATAAAACGGAGAAGGTTCCGAAATGTGTCCGATCGGACGATCCGAAATTTTCCGGAGGACAGTCCGTCAGTCCCCGCCGGACAGTTCCGAAATCTTTCCCGGACTTGCCGGGAATCGGTCGAAAAGTACCACAATCAGGAGGATTTCGGGGAGTCCGACAGGGCTGGTCGGGCTCGTTCCGGGCCGTCCGATACGAGTCCGGAAAAAAAAGAAACTGGCGTTGGCCGAGGTGGGACTACTGTGGCTGGATTCGTTCCCGGGCCCCTCTCCTTTGGACTTTCCTCGCTGCTTGCTGTCGACGTCGCTGACCACTGCGCTAACCTGAAACATGAGGGCCGGGCCCGCAGACGAGCCTCTTCACCGGCGCGGCGCAGCGCGCAGCGCTCCTTCCTCCTCTCTGGCGAGCGCACCGCGCGCTATGCAAGCTAGAAGGGTGCGGTTTTCGACGCGCATCTTGTCTGAATCACCTGAATAGCGGGATTCGACATAGCGGGTCACATATTTTAAATAAGATCTTGCAAAATTTGAGCGGCTTTGGTCATACCCACTATGTGAAAAAAATATATATTCATGGAAAATTTCTTTGCTGTCATGCATCAACAGATTTAGGGCATTACCGTATTGAACGAGTAATATTTTAACATGCTGCTCTGCATGTTACAGTTTGACGCTGCTTTTTTTGCAAAATAAATGTGTGTTCTAATACAGCGTGCTGTCTGCTGACACTGTGTTTGTACCACTTTACCTGTGCAATCTGCGCAGGTATAGGCGGGTTAGAGGCGTCCCGCCGGGGTAACCCGTCCCCTCGTGCGACCCGCGTGCGGCGGGGGTTTTCCCGCGAGGCAAACAATCCCTTTGGAATTATTCGCTACAAATTCTAGGAATCTGAGGCAAACAAGAGTAGGCCTAACCAGGATAGAGAATACCGGTCTACTCGCCGTTATTGTCACATGTTCAAAAGTTCTAACGTGTCCTAACAAGATTGAGTGTATCCCGGTCACCCCTGCATCCGGACTGTATCGGACAGACCGTCGGACAGATTCGGACTCTCCGACAGCCTTCGGCAAATAATCGGGCTGTCCGCTTCGCCTGTCCCCGGATTCGGACTCGAAAAGTCGAGTCCCGGACAGAAAACGGACTGTCCTGGGCCAGTCGGACAGCTTTGGATGTGTCCTCGGCCAGTTTCGGATGATTTCGGTTTGGTAAGGGGGGGGACGCCTCTCTGTCGAGGGGCTCCAGCTCCACCTGCCGAGCGGCCTCGCTGCCCCACTGCTTTGTGTGGACCGCCACTTTAATTAAGATCGCGCCATAATTACGCAACAGAAGACGCGTGAGCAAAAATTTGGAAAGGGCGAGAATGATGGTGTGGGGGCGGGGGAGGGGGAGGGTCTTTGGCATAACCTTATTATGGGACGTGTTTCCAATTGCCTCAGGCGTCGCCATGGTGTAGCCAACCTCGGTGTTGCCCCGTTCAAGGACCTTGGGGGAGAAAGAGGGGGAGGGGTTTATACCCCCTGTGACCGACGCCCCCGTGCCCCCCCCCCCCTCCACCACAGGCCTGTCCTTTCATTATTCACGTAGCGTATGCCGCCTCTGCTATAACAGGCTGCCCTAATTCTCAGATTGCAAAAGAAATCTCGAGAAATGCTCGAAGCCTTGAACAGCGTCCTGGCGGACTCTGCAAGGCTCTGCAAGGCCGGAAGCGCAGAGGCAGAGATATGATAGCGCGGCTGCATGCCCCAGTCTGAATCACACATTGTGCAATAAAAAAAACCACCACATATTTGACTACCGGCTACGACCGGCTGTGCAAAGAGCGGCAATAAAGTACGAAAAAGGAGCACACCGTGCCGGTCAGCAGCATCACGGCGGAAAAGAGATTAATTCAAAAAGTAATAAGCGAGAAAAATTTCTGCGGCTACGACACAAGCCACACAAGCACACAGCTCCAATCAAGTTTCTGCCAGCTCGCTGCGCCGGAGCTTTTTCAGTTTCATTATATAACACGATATTTCCAAGCGGATATATTTTTTTTTCCTTGCCTGGCGCCGAGAGACGGCCGACAGGGTGGCAGGGGGTGCGCAGCAGCTCTCGGCACCGGCGGTGGAAAGGCTAGCTTTGAGCCCGGCATGCCGTCGGAACGCACAACACGGCGAGCACGTGGAGCGTGCGTGTGCACCGAGCTGCACCAGCGCCCTGCTGCACCAGCCTTGCATTCGGTGGGGCCAACGGGACAAGCTGCAGCGGCACCGGCAGGACTCAAGGGCTAATGTCGAACGCGGCGAACAGGGTGCACAGGGCGCACCCTGAAACGCATACCCGGCGCCACGCACACAAAGGGGCGGTTGATGGGACAGAGGCACAAGCGTGTAAAACGACGAGGGAATCCTGTGGGCGTGAAGCGACCACGGCCATAACCGCACACTCTCCCTACCAGATTCTGTTTTCCAACGGGTAGTTTTTCGGAGACCAGAGACACCTTTTTTGGGTTTCTCCTATGTAAAATGTGCAGTCACCGCACCAGAGAAGCTCGCCTGTCAAACGACCGTAGCGGAAAAAACTGTCACACACTTGGGTGGCAAGTGAAAGAATATTCCAGCCACATCTTTGCCGCCGGCTCATGAATACCCATGGGCCGTGGGCCATGGGCCGTGGCTCCAGGGTGATGCTGAGGCGTCGTCTCGCACGGCTCGATTCAATGAAAGTCGTTCCAAGGTCACACGGGGAATACGTGGAGGGGAGGCGGCAGTCTGAGACAGCCGAATACTCCGCACTTCAGATAGACCCCTTATCTTCAGTACACTGTGATCACCTGGGCCAACGCTGTGAGGGCGATCGATGAAATTGACGAAATAAGAACCCAACCCTGACCAAAATTAAAAGATGGATGGGGTGTGAGACCAGAAGGACTTCAGTGCGCATCGTGCTAATTCGGTGCTGGTCCCAGTGCGCTCATCAAACTTTCTGTTTTTGTTCGCGCAGCTTCCCTCCGCCCCGTGGCATCGCAGAGATGATCATCTGGCGCGTATGGTATCACGTGGTTCGTAGCGAGGACCTTTCTGCCGGCGTAGCAATGTGGGTCACGTCGCACGCCCTGCTGAGACACTGATCCGCAAACCCGCGGCGCGGCGTCTGTCTGCGTCTGTCTGGAGTGATGAAGCGCACCTTCGTTTGTGAGGCGGATATCCATCACTGTCCTCCCTCCAGAGGAATTTCATTTTCAAAAACATGCCGAAAAGAGAAGCGAGAGGGACCGTGTCGAAGATGTTTGGCATGCCACCGTCTCACCGGGTCTCGCAACCCCACGGAGAGGGCTATCAGGGAGTGGATGACGATCTCACGGAGCGATTTATCTCATTGCGAGAGTATTTATGTTTCCTATTATCTCAAGAGCTAGCTTCTCAGAGTACGGGGAGGGGCTGTGTGCTTTTCACACACCTTCTGTGTCACGTTTAAGTCGTCCTGCCAACAAAACAGGGGGCCATAGACAAGGTCAGGGCTAGGCCCGATTCGCAACGCACAGCGTCCACTGCGAATCCCACAGCAGACGCCTTGGCGCGAGTCGCGAGTCGCCACACTTCAGTGAAGGGACTTGACTGCTGGGAAGGGCCGCTGCCACTGTGTTGACCGTGTGTGTCACCGTCAACCCTGCCGGCATGCTCTGGCTCCAGCGGCCGCACCACAGAAAAACGTCTCATTCACTCAAGGCAATTCGCTTAGTCGAATAGGCAAGTCAGCCTGTCAGGCCATTCGAGCCTACTAACAGAGAGGGGCGTGTGGCTTTTTGCCTAGCTTTCAGGCAGACATAGGGGCAGGGGTCAGTTTGTCCTATTGGCCAGCAGAGGACCCGCGGCCGGCCCGCGCGTCCAGCTCAGCCGGATAAGCAAACCCGCAACACGTCGGCACGCCTGCGACACGCCTGCGGCACGCCCTCGGACGGAAACCCGGCAAAGCACAGAGACCCAAACTTTGTGTGTGGGTCTGGCCGCCGCGCCAAGCCGCGCCGCGCCGAGTTGGCGGTACACTGCGACCACCAGCTTGTTGACAGCGTCGCCGCGCCACGCCGCGATCATTCTAATTCCGCCGCGCGATAACGCCAGTACGGCAGACAGGCACGCCAGTGATAACGTGATAACAACACCAACAGCACCAACGCCGCCAACGCCAGCCTGCCTCACTCACCGTTCCCAACACCGCCGGCTGCCCTCGTTGTTGACGTAGATTCTGTTGTTGGTGCGCCTGTCCGGCCTCCACGCCGGCGGGGGTGTTTCCCAGAAACAATTTAACGGCAGTGAGTCACTCGCGGCACTGTACACACGGCGCGGCGGAGGCGGCCGCGGCACGGCGGCCGGCATGCACTTGTTTTCAACTCGCGGTCCGGAGCGGCGACGCGACGACGGGGCGGCCTAGGGGTGCCTGCTTCGCACGCTTCGCCTGCTTTATCGGACACTGGTTGAGCGGTCCTCTTCACGCCACACTGGTGCACGGCGAGTCAACAGGTCCTCGGCGAACACGCGGCGGCAGCGGCGGCAGCGGCGGGTGGGATGGGTCGCACGTACTGGGCCCCGGGCCGCTGGGAGGCTCTGGCGACGCGACGCGGCACGGCTGCGCTGGGCGCGATCTCGTTCTGTACTGTACTCCGCGGTACTCCGCGCTCGCTCGGCACGCTGCTCGCTGCTGGCGGGGCGGGCGGCCGCGTCGCCCGGCGACGAGGGAGGGGAGGGGGGGGGGCGGGGGCCGAGCACGCGTGTCCCGGTTGCTGAGCTACGACGTGCGAGCGGCACAGCGGCGCTCGGAGTGGAGCGGCGGGGCGGCGGACAGGCAGGCAGACCGGTGGATGGCTGACGGACGGGCGGCGCTCAACCGAACGGCCAGTTCGGCGCTGCTCGCCGTCCCGAGTCCTGCCCGACCGGGCCCGACAAGCCCGACAGGCGTGCTCAGCCCGCCGCGGCCCGCCCCGCCTCGCCCCGCGCGGCCCGCCCCCTCGCCCGGCGTCGTCCGCCCACGGCGCTGGCGCACGCTGGTGCTTCCACGCATGCCCGGACCCTTGTTGAGGCTCTCTGTAAGGTGTAGCCGGGACAGCGCCCCCTCGTACCGCGTATTGAAATATGCAATCTGATCGAACTAGCAGGGCGAACGAATTCCTTTCTGTCCGTTTCGTTTAGAATATTATTTCCGCGGCCAAAAAAAAAAAACGTTAACGCTAACGCTAACGTGAAAGCAGATGATACTTATGAGAATGTTTATTTCAATGTATGAATGTGACATTTTGTCAATTTATTTCAAAGAGTAAACACTCGGAACTCTTTTTTAGACAAATTTGTTACACATGGTAATTCATGGAAATGTCAATCTAAGTATAACTTTTGAATATCCTAACGTGCCATTGTTTTGTGTTAAACATGTTCGCAATGACGGTGGGGCACTCATATGTCCGATACCACTTGTGTTGGGTATCATTTTCCTTGTTTCAACGCGAGGATGCACAATTTGGTGGCTAATCACATAAATACTCAATACCCGTAAAAGTTGTGCTCGGTACTAGGGCAAGGCGCCTTCCGGCACGCGGCGTGTCAGCCACATCTCCAAGCGGGGCCAGCCGGCCGGCACGCCACCCGAACCCGACCTCAAGATAGATAAGCAAGAGTGGCGCACACTGCCGACTGCCGACGCGCCGCTTCTCGAGAGGGGCAGGGGTTCGGGGGGGCGCTGAACTATGCGTTCTACGCACTCAAGGCTCAAGTGCGTGTGTGTGTAGACTGCTGCGGGGTGTGGCGGGGCGCGGCGGGACGTGGCGTCTCGGCAAGGGAATGGGCGAGGGGGGCAGCTACGCGATGCGTGCTAGCAGCGTCTCGTGACGACGCGCAACGCGAGGGACGCACTTCATGAGTACTAGAGAGCTGGGTGTCGAGGTTATACGCCGCGCGCGCAAACCGAGCCCCCCCAGGCGCCCCGATTCCATGAGCGGCGGGCGACGGCGCGGCACGGCGCGGCGCGGCACGCTGCGGGCCCTCCGCTCATAATCTTCTAGGCAGGCCAGCCAGCCGCTGCCTTGCCAGCGAGGCGCTCGGCCTCTTCTAGGCTTGCTAGTCAGGCAACGAGGCAACTGCTGCCTGGCTAGCCGGAAACTCGGTACTCTCTGCACGAGAGTACAAGCACGCTGATACGTGAACGTATCATCTGCTAAAAAAGCGAGCATGGAAATGGTTTCAACACTTCGGGCACGCTGCTGCATGCCGACGCCGCCGACCGGCGCTCTGCCGGCTTCCCCTCCGCCCTCGCGCCGCCTCACGCCGCCTCGCGCCGCCTCGCCCCGCCGGCCGACTCTGCCGCCCCTGCCCCCGCCCCGCGTCAACGTGGAGGGTGGTGGAGCACCAGCCAATCGGCGACAAGTGCAAAGTAAGCCCAAGTTGCTATGGGCAGGACAATCAGAGAGATGACTGCCCCAGGGCGCCTGTCGCCTGGATGACATGTAGCGACTCGTGGCTTGGAAGGGTGGGGCGCAGCGCGGCAAGGCAAGGCAAGGCAGGGCTCTCGGGGATCTCGCGCTCGGCTGCCTGGGCCGCCCCACGTGTCTCCACCTGAAATGGGAGTGCCACTCAGAAAGCCGTCTCTCGAAGGAGGAGGAGTAAGGCACGTTCTTAAAACAAACCTTTATGTCCCGGAGACCATCGAACCGAAAGCAGTTGCCTTGAAACCACACCGCACGTCGGGAGACTTCCTTCGTATCATGGAACACCTTCCAAAGTTGAAAACTGCGCTGCGTGTGTGCCAACACACGCTGGTCAGCTCCAAGGTGGAAACCACAAGCAGGCCACCGGCCACTGCAAAAATTGCTACCAGTGCACAGTAAAAAAAGATTCGCTGTTTTGGTGGTCGTTCTATATCCAATCTCACCGAAACGGGTACCCCTACAAACCCGGCGACGGTCTGTCACCAAAACGGTGACCTGCGTCACTAGGTGGTGTTCCACCAGAGAGGTTAGGATGACCACAACAACTGTTTTTGAGCTGTTTGTGCATATTTGTGCGTGCCCGCCGGCAACGTTACGCTTTGATGAGTCACGCGAATGATTACTGACAGCCCCTGACTTGTTTTGTGTCCTATTTCATATTAATACGACGATTAAAAGTCGCTGGCGGGAGGGTGACTGCAGTGCCGTTCTGGTGAGGTGGCCGCTCCGGAACGGACCGAGCGCCACCGAAACTAGACCGAGCGTCGCCGAAACGAACAGAGGGCCGCCAGAACAGTTTGAGGGTGTTGCTGTTCTTGTAATATTCTCGTTTTGGCGCCCAGACGTCACCGAATCGGCGAATCTTTTTTTACTGTGTGATGTTTGTTCCTTTCCCTAATTTGTCAGCCCCACAAAACCCCTGCCTGGGTGGGCGCTCGTCGTGACTGATTGCCCAACTTCTCTTCTCACCCCCTTCCCCCTCCCCGCCTCCCCCATGGAGGGCCGCCTGTTGTTTCTTTTCACTTTACTTCCGCCACATCGTGCTTGTGTTGCTGCGCATGCCTGTGTGTGTGTGTGTGTGTGTGGTGTGTGTGTGTGTGTGTGTGTGTGTGTGTGTGTGCGCGCGCGCGCGCCTGCGTGCGCGCGCGTATGTAGCGAGTGAGAAGAAAGCGCCGTCCCTTTCCCGCCGCAGCCGTCCTGTCGCGATCCGTTTCCCCGCCACACCAACAAAATTTGCCAAAGCTTGACTCGAGAAATGGGGATGAGAAAAAGGGCGTACTTTTTCCGCGTACTTCTGTTTCCCCGAAGACCCTATATCTAATCATGTGTCCCGCTGCAGAACCTCTGTAGTCGGCAAGGTGCGGACGGACCTGGTAAATAATTGATCGGACGTGTTCTGTCTATTTTTCACAACCGGCGGCTGAGGCCACATCAGGGTCCACAGGCGGCAACGTTGTGCATACGGTGTGTATTTTGCGGGCGCGTCCCGCAGCGTCCCGCAATCCTGGCCTGCAGCCCGGGGCGACGGAATCTTCATTTTGCCGCGTCCTGGCCAACGAGGGCGTCCTGCTACCGCGTCAACGCGCCACCGCGCCATTTGCATATCAGCCTGGGGGCGTGCGGGGGCGTGCGGGGCAGTCGCCGGCCACCGCGGGCCGCGCTCAACAAGTCGCCAGCCGGGCCGTCGCCGGGCCGGCTGGGCCTTGGACCGCGCCTTGAGCCGGGCCCCGCCACCGCACGACACAGCCTCCGAAGCATCCAGCCATTTAAACACTAATTTCCCCTTCGCCGTCACCCGCTCTTCCTTCCGAGGGGTACCTCACTTCGTCTAGTCAGTGTACACCCCTGACTCCAGTCACTGCCTTGTTTCAGTCTAGTCACTGAAAAAGTCGGCAAAACCACGTAAATTTGTCCCAATTTTAGCATTTTTGCAACGCATTTCGTGATATTTTCAGTCTAGTCAAAGTGGAAATTGAGTATAGTCACCAGTCAGTGTACACCTGTTTTCGAAGTGAGGTACCCCTCGCTTCCTTCCCAAAGCATCGCCGTTCATGCTGGAGCGGCCCGAGTACAAGACTTGTGGGCCTTAGACACACACTCGTGACGCGGTGTTGTTTTACCAAACCGAAAGTGTGTTTAAGGCGGTGTGGCTCCGGGCGCCGGTGCGCCGACCCGTCACGCAGTGCACTCAAAGCAATCCTCTCAAAAGTGCCGAACTATGTAATCAGGCCGTTTTAAAAACGCTTTAAGTCATCTTATGCCCCTGTCATTTGCCATTTGAAAAGTGAAAATTGGCACAGCTTTAAATCGCCAGCAGTGAAACTTTGTAAAGCATGGCCCAGGCTGATAAGCGAATTCTCCTAACGACTGCAGCAATGTTTTCTTCATTTTTCCTCAGCGCGAGGCGAGAAACATTTAATTACGTGAGCTTCCGTGTACGCTACACCCGTCTCTCTGCGTCGCGGCCCTGCTCCTTGGCTTTGGCCATCAAAGTAAACATTTGCGGAGGGCTGTATTTCTCGAGCCCCGCTGGGAACACCCTGCACGCAAGCAGAGGCAGGCCCAATTTAAATACGCAGGCCTCCTCAGTTCCTGTGCAAATAAGTCGTACGTTGTTCTCGGACCGTGAAATTCCCTGCGCGCTTGCAGAGCAGCTTACTGCATCGCTGACCCACGTAAAGAAGTCGAGGAAAGTGAAATGATTCGACGCACACTAGCCGCGCGCTGACTCTGCAAACCCCTGTGGAGTCGGGGGTAGGCAACACGCGGCACCGCCGTGCAAAAGGGGACGGTGTGCTGCCTGCCTCGCAGGCGTTCGGTGGAGGATGTGGGTCACGAACACGATTAAATTGTGCTCGGTACAAATGTCTGACGATGGAATTTCCCTCATTAAGAGGGATATGGTGCGAATAAATACGGACGTACTTTTTCATCGTATTTTGTAGGTTCACTGTGAAAATTTGAGGGGTCACTTGATGACAATTTCGAGGGTAATTTTCCTTACAACAATGTCATCAAAAAAATCGGCCAGTCACGCATGCCCAGCACACACACTCCCCCGCCGAGTAGCAAAACGAGTGATACCGAGCCAATGCCCTGTGCGCTACCACACTGCCATCGACGGCCTCTCTCACGCGTGCAGTAGGACATTTGCCTTGTTTATTTTGTGACCGATAGTGTGCGACAGCACACGCGTGTCCCGGCAAAGGTTTGGCGGTGGGGGAGGCGGGAGGGGGGCAAACAGCTGTACAAAACCCATGAGACTGGGGAAGCGCTCCCTTCCCGCCACTGAGACCGAATGCGTGATACGCCACTGCGCCGTGTTCCTGATTCTCTTTCACACACGGAACCGCTCCGACACACTGTGGCAGAAAATAACGGAAAATTCTGTAAACAGCTTGTGGTAATATCTCTTCTGTGGTAGTCATCTTATCAAAATTTTCCGTAGGACCGTACAGTATTCTCCGTGTAGGACCTTACAGTGCTCTCGGTAGAACCATACAGCCTTCCAGGCCCTGCGGAGAAGACTGTACGGTCCTACGGACAAAGCTGTAAGATCCTACGGAGAATATCGATAAAAAGGCCACGGAGATCCCTGGCAAAAAAATGAACAGAATTTTCCGTACCTTTTTGCTGCAGTGCAGACTCGCTCACCGCGACGAACGCAATTCCTTTTCATTCTTTTTCATTCCCTCTGTCTCTCTGTCTCTGTCTGTAGTACGTCTGTCTCCCCCTCCCCCTTCCCTGTGTCCCAGGTCACCGCAAACCGAGAGAAATTAACCAGATAAATAAACAAAGGCGCTCCGCTTGGAGGAAGGGGCGCGAGGTCCAGTCGAGCGGCCTTTCACCAGGTGCAAGTGTCACGCACAGCGCCGACCTTTCTGGCCGCCTTTGTCGCTGGAATCCTATCCAGCTGAGCTTTCTCGACCGAGCTGCTACTGCTCATGGAGTGGCTGGAGACACGGCCAACACTGCAAAGCCGGTGGTAAGTTTGCTTGCCACAAATTTGGCCAAAACTTGGCAACCTTGGCCCGGAAATACCACCCAGCTTGCCAAACTTTGCCAAGCTTGTGAAGATTTCCGACCAAAGCTTGCCAAATTTTGGCATTCAAAACAGCTTGCCAAATTTGTGGCAAGCAAACTTACCACTGGCTTTGTAGTGAAAATATGGCACGGCAAAAAGTCGCATTGAAAAAGGAAACTGCAAGAATGCCAGCCGCTACGTTTTCAGTGTGCCACTGAGTCTTTTCCCAACGCTTTGGCACAGCTGAGTCCTTCTTACTCGCAGTTGTCTGAGCCCCGTTCCTTCGCCGCGCGTGTTCTCGAAAACGGTCGACAAAGGTGGTCGCGGCGCGTGAACCATTGGGAAACTCGGTTTCCGCGACTGGCCGCCTCCGTAACGCCCCCTCCCCGTCTGCTCCTCGTGCCGGCATTTCACGGAGCAGTCGATACTGCGCGCCGTAGCAGCCGTAGCCATGGCAGCCGCGCCACGCCACGCCGTGCCACGCGATCATCCACACCATCATCGCTGTCATAGGTCCCTACAGCCACCCCGGTGGGACAGACAGGAACGGAAAATGAAAACAAAACGAAGGGAGCAGACAAAAGACACGCCCGGAGCGAAACAAACTAAAGTTAGGGCGTCATCTCTAACGGTTCGTGGATAACGGGAATACGGCGCATGTGCGCTTTTCGTCCCTCTCAGTGGCTCCCAGCGTCCGGCGTGACGGTCGTGACGGCTGTGACGGCAGTGACACGCCGCGCTGGAGGGGGGACTCTGCCGTCGCCGCCGGGCAGCGGCGCAGCAGTGAAGCAGCGCAGCAGTGAAGCAGTGCAGCAGTGAAGCAGCGCAGCAGTGAAGCAGCGCAGCGTGCCTTGTGCCCCGCTGCGTCCAGGCACCATTCCTATGCAATAAAAGCTGGATTCTGAAATGAAAAAAAAAAGGATTTCCGAAAACTTTTTTGGAGGGCACCACACATTCTGCCTAAAGTTGCTTGCAACCCGCCCCCAGGCGCTGTGCTCTGCGTGTCCTGCGCAACTTTTCTTCTGGAGCAAAAACAGCAATTTTTTTCCGGGGTGGAAGCTGTCCTGGTGTATACAGCGGCACCCCGGTCGGCTCGGCCACCCGTGAGGCCTACGAGCGGAGAGAAGTGGGGTTGGCCTCAGTTTGCGAACCATGGACTGTCTGCGCAAAACGAGCCGTACGTGTTTCGTACGAGTTCACATTTTGTCGATATTGATTTCATTCACCGAAGAGGGCGAGACCGATGGTCTGGAGCCCACTGTGGGAAAAAATCACAGTAAATCCTGTAGTGATTAGTACAGCGGTCACTGTAGTTCAGAGTACAGGATTTACTGTACTTTTGTAACAGGATCTACTGTACTTTCTACGGGATTTACTGTACCACAGGAGTGGAGTACGGAATATCCTGTACCAGGTACAGTAGATACTGTAGCCAGGCACGGTAAATCCTGTGTTCTGAACTACAGTAAATCCCGGCAAAAAAATTAACGGGATTCACTGTGGTTTTTTCGCACAGTGCCGAACGTGGAAACCCACAGACCGAGGGGGAAATCACTCGCGTAATAGTCGGGTCACCGATTCCTAGTATTACGCGTAATAGTAATAGCGTAATAGCCATATTTTTTAAAATTTTCCGTGTTTAGGGTCCGATTTTAGCCTAAATATAGATATTTTCGAACGTAATAAGCCTTCTGTAATAGCGTAATAGAACGTAATAGGGAGTAGTCGGGTCACAGTTTTTAAGAGTGATTTCCCCCTCGCCACAGACAGACAGGCAGCTTAGCGCGAACCGAACGCGGTGACGCAAGCGTTCGGGTCCAGCGAAACAGCCAAAGGGTTGTGTCGGGACCGCTGTCTGAATGGTGAGCGGCGCACCACCTCGCGGCCCTCGCGCGGACGCCATTGTCTGCTGCTCAGACTGGCCCGATCCTCTTGAGAGGGCTGCCCGGCAGGCCACCAGGCGGGCTGGGAGCCTCACGCAGATGCTGCCTACAAAGTAGTCTGCACACACAAAGCAGGCCGTTTCCCCTTCAAAAAATAGAAAGGAATGACGATTTGTTTCGTTCCGGGAAACAGACACGCTGGTTATCACGCCCCTGTGGTGGGCATCTGGCGAGTACTAAACGCCTTTGTACGGTGCAAAGTACCTGAGGGTTAGTACCTAAGGATTAGTACCTAAGGCTTCGTACCTAAGGCTTAGTTCCCACCTGAATACTGTCAACCCAAGGTGGTTGGCGTGACAAAGGCAGGCGGCGATGCCAGGCCAGCGCATCAGGCTCGCACAGGCAAGACGGGCTTGTTACGCGAGACGCAGTGTAGCGTCGGCTGCACAGCTAAGTGGTTCTAGACACTGAGGTATAGAGTTTCCGACCATTATGAGGCCTGCCTCGTTGCTGGTCACGGGCAGGTTTCCCGCCGAAAGGGACCCCCCTCCCCCGCCTCCTAGGGATGTGCGAATAGTTCGGTACCGAATCAAATCGAATTTGAAGTAAAAGATGCTTCATTCGCACAGTTTTGAGTGTCTCCCTAGCCCTGGGGAACGTCTACCAAAGTACACATTAGCTGTTGGTGACTCATAATGTAAAAAAAGTCCAAATGACCGCAGTAAGTATAAAATCGATCAACCGACACGCTCATCTCTGATGTGAACACCCATTCACGAGGGCGCCCTACCACCGTGGCGCCCGGGGCTGTAACTGATTAACGTTAGCATTGGCATTTTCGAATTTCACGGCGTTTTGATTTCTCTTTATCGGCGACTTTAAATTTTGACGGGTGGCACGATGGGACCATGCCGTTGCCATGGAGATTGTTTTTTCATGTTTTAACCATTTGCTCAGAACACGGACGATTTCTTGTTACTTTGATGAGCCAGGAGGTTTAGTTTTGAGGAGTGGCACATTTTTTATTTGAACCATTTTTTCATATCATGAACGGTTCTCGTTTTCGATTGTTGCAAATTTATGTTTTTCGCGTTTACGGAAAATTTCCAAGATGAATTTTCGAAAAAATTTGGAATTTTCGTTTTTTTCATGGTTGAAATAGTTTAGCGTTGTTTATTTGAAAATCGAAGAGGGGGGGGGGAAGGAATCCACGGACCTCGGACAATAGGGGTTCTTGGGAACCCCTAAAAAAGTCCAAATGACCGCAGTAAGTGTAAAATCGATCAACCGACACGCTCATCTCTGATGTGAACACCCATTCACGAGGGCGCCCTACCACCGTGGCGCCCGGGGCTGTAACTTATTAACAGCACGTCTCGCATTCTCGCACCACAGCCGGGAACGGCTCTGTGAGGCGTAAACACGCACCTGCCATGCCGCAGTGTGTTGGTTGTTGCTCTGTATCGTCCTAGTAAGCGGAGAGGGTAAATACGAGACTCTCCACGAGCGCATTCCACGTGCTGGGTCTCGCCGCACGGGGAGGGAATGCGAAATACGTCTATTTTTCTGACCTGATTCGAGGAGTGGACGCACGATGAATGGCTTCCCCCTCTCCTTCTCTCCCCCTCCAGTTCTGGCCCTAGCGCAAGCCCCCGGGCTGCTGGCCCCGGCTGGCCCTGCCGGCAAAGTCGAGAGGAGGCTCGCTGGCCGGAATGACATGGCTTTCGCCGGGGGTTGCGTCTGCCGCGGTCTGCTTCACGGCAATTAGGAGCAAAGCGCGCCACCCTCCTGGTTCTCTCCTGGTTCCCTCCTAGTTCCAGCCAGGCTACCTCTTGGTTCCCTTCTGGTTCCCTTCTAGTTCCCTCCCAGTTCCCTCCTGGTTTCATCCAGGTTCCCGCCTGGTCACCCTAACACCTTTCTCGCCCCCTTTTGGACCCCCGTGTGTAAACACTCGGATGCTGCACTAAGGCAACACGTTGAGATAAAATGATCAGACAGCTTACAGTAAGGTTTTATTTGATGTTTTTATTTTGTCTTATGGAATATCCGCTTTCGTTTCTCACGGGCCTCTTGCTCAGTGTCACCCAACCAATAAGTGATCAACGGCGGCACCGATGGGTCCCAAGATGCCGCGGTGCTCGTGACCACCGAGTCGACTGCTTCGGTCGGAGTTCTGCGACTTCTCGACGGTCACGGTTTCGCTGGTACTGCTGCTTTCACGCTTGATCGGGTCGGAGTAGCCCCACTCGCCAAAGCCGGAGGAGCCAGACTGCTCTGACTTCTCGACGACCACGGTTTCGCTAGTCTGGCTGCTGCCCTCACGACCCAAACGGTCAGCGTAGCTTCCGCCTCCGAGGCCAGAATAGCCTGCGTTTTCTGTTTTCTCGATGGTCACAGATTTCTCCACTTGGCTGCTGCTTCCATGACTGATTGGGTCAGAGTATCTTTCGCCTCCAATGCCGGAAAAGTCAGAGGATTCAGAATTCTCTACAGTCACAGATTTCTTAAATTCGCTGCTGCTCTCGCGACTGGCTGGGTCAGAGAAGTGACCATCTCCAAAGCCGGAAAAGTCAGAGGATTCGGACCTCTCAATTGTCACAGATTTTTTCACTTCGCTGCTGCCCTCACGACTGGATGGGTCAGAGTAGTGATCATCTCCAATTCCGGAAAAGTCAGAGGATTTGGACCTCTCAATTGTCACAGACTTTTTCACTTCGCTGCTGCCCTCGCGACTGGCTGGATCAGAGTAGAGACCATCTCCAATGCCGGAAAATTCGGAGGATTCGGACTTCTGAATACTTACAGATTTCCTAGATTGGCTGCTGCTTTCAGAATCGATTGGATCATCGTAAGTTCGGTCTCCTAGCTCGGTGGTTCGGGATTTCTCGACAGTCACACTCTTCTTAGATTGGCTGCTGCCCTCCTGGATGATTGGGTCAGAGTAAATCCCGTCTCTGTCGGAAAAGTCAGAGGATTTGGACTTCTCGATGGTCACAGATTTCTCCACTTGGCTTCTTCCTTCAAAACCGATTGGGTCAGAGAAAGTCCTGTCCCTACCAGAAACGTTCGAGGATTCCGACTTCACAACAGTAACAGATTTCTTGGATTGGCTGCTGCTTTCATCGCTGATTGGGTCAATGTAACTCCCGTCTCTGTCAGAAAAGTCAGAGGATTCGGACTTCTCGATGGTCACAGATTTCCTAGTTTGGCTGCTGTCCCCATGGCTGATCGGATCGGAGAGACTATCCGCCCCATAACCAGAAAAACCTGAGTTTTCGGACTTCTCAATAGTCACAGTTTTGCTGGATTGGCTACTGTCACGACCGATCGAATCAGCGTAGCCTTCGTCTCCGATGCCGGAAAAGCCGGAGCTTTGGGACTTCTTCGTAATGACAGTTTTGCTGGTTTGGCTGCCCTCACTACCGTTCGGATCTGCGTAGCCTCCGTCCTCAATGCCGGAGGTTCTGAACTTCTTTATGATGACTATTTCGCTCGTTTGGATGCCTTCGCCACCGAGACGCTCCCTACCTCCCAAGTGACCGCTTGAGTCTGATTCCTCGGTGACCTTGGTGAAGGAGGAGCTGGAGTGTCCTTCGGAGTCTCCCAGGAGACCACTGCTGAAGTCGTGGTCGGTGGACACTCTCCGCTCGCGCTGGATCTCGGAGTCACGTCGATCCCCATCGTTGAAATCAAAACCCAAGGGGGCGGCGGCCGTGGCGTGTAGGGTGGCCAGCACGGTGAGTGCAATGAGCACGGCTTGCATCGTTCGAAGCACCATGGTCTGTGAAATGAAACAATATTCAAATTTGCTGTGTCGTCCCGTTGAAAACAGTGCGCTTCAACAAAAAGTTCCTGCATGGTCGATTTCATTTAGCGTAACGTTACGTCCCAATTATACCGGTATGAAACAACCATACATAACACATTTAATGACAGTGCAGTGCAGGCATGCCGCATAGCCAGGCAGCAATCATCGGCCCCAAACGCACTGAAGGCCGGAAGCACCATTAACGGCGGGCAGGAAGTGGCGTGGTGGGGTTTCCGGAGGGCTTTCAAATGGGCGGTCGATACCAAGAGAGTCGCGCCGGTGAAGGTTCAGTGGTCTACTCGGTACTCTTAACAGTGGGGCTTGAAGGTTTCCCCTTCCAATTATGAGGATTCCTGCCCGTCCTGACGCTATCAATTTCTTCCCTTTGAGAGACACCTGATTGACAAGGTTTGCATTGGCCTCGACCGGAAAAGATTCTACTCTAAGCGGCACTCTACTGCAACGGGTCTAACAATTATGCAAAGTAAATCCCTGGACAGGTGGAGATTCCATGAAGGCAACACGAAATGCAGATCAATGAGTGGGGCTTACTTCGTTCGATGGCCCGAGACGCAGCGTGATAACGGTAACGTATTCATCTTACCTGCGCTTCGCGGTGGCGTGGAGTGTAGCCGCCAGCTCGCCGTGCGGGCCTTAAGTAGTAGGAATGCCTCACGGCTCGCTTCCCCAGGACGCGACGGGCGTGACTTTTGGGCCAACAGCAGCACGTTTTAGCCACACTCGTTTTTTGGCGGTGACTTCGGAAGGCGGTGTTGATTCACTTGCCCTTGCGCTTTGTTCGGACTAATTATTGCCCATAAAAAGATAAACTTTGGTGCTGGTTACATCCAGAAAATTGTATTTAAAAAGTTGTCATCTTGCATTTAGAGGCATTGAAACTTTCAAACAATAATTTGATCATTTGCTTTTACTCAGCGTATGCTTCATCTTTGGTTTTTCAGTTCCACATCAAACGTCGCTGTCACCCTTCGCGCTGAAGGCCTGCAATCAGTTCGATGCCATGCCCCAGATATACGCGCTATTGCATCAGAAAGCTGGCCTCAATCAGCTCTCTGGCTGGCCGGCAGCGCTCCATGCCAAAGCTATTTTTGCACAAAGCTGGGAATCTCGTCTCTGTGATGCGGATGGGGCTGCATTTGCAGAGATCAGGTGGAACGCGACCAACAGACGTATTTTTTATGCATTTGATGCAGGGAAAAAAATTTAGCGGAGTTTTTTAAAATATAAAATAGTCGCTCTCGTTGACGAGACGAGCCCTTCGACAGTGCTTCGTTTTACGGTTTGCGGTAACCTCTGTCGAATTGTGTTGCTGCTAGGATACGCGCAATCCTAGTGCCTTAACAGTGCACTTTCCAGTCTAGACAGGCGCAGAGGGCAGCATGGTCGGCCAACACGAGCCGAGAGTGCTCACTGCGATTGGGCACGAGCGCGGCTAAGGACCCGCCGACTCCGCGCAAAAACAACAAGATCGGAAAAAGCGACAATAACACTTAAACAAAATCAATCTAACATTTTAATAGAAAGAAAACACAAATTGGATACAACTTTTTGTTGATGCAAAGTTTGAACAGGTGACTTCAGGAAACGCATGACCTGATCGCAGCGTTTTATCTCATGAACCGTGTAAAAGCAAAAGGTTTAAGGACTATAATTTTTTCAGCTCTTCCGATCAATACCCCAGACGGCCATTTCAAGGCAGGTTGTTCAGTTGCGCCCCCCTGTAGGTGCATTCAGTAAATAATAATCAGTCAAAAATCGACCGGAGTCACTCACAGTGTCACCAACGACGCCAGGCGGCGAAAATCAATCGGGAACCCAGAACGATTAATCAATCAGGGCGGGAGGCAGCGATTACTCGAACCTCTCGAGTCGTCGCGCACCTCCCCTCCCCCACAGAAGACATCTCTTTTCTTTCGTCCGTTCGCCGTCGCTTCGGCGTGTCCGCAACGGTGCGTCCATAACGATCGGGCAGTCCAAGGCCGGCGTGGCAGGGCGGGCGAGGCGGGGCTGGGCCCGCAGGGTGGCATTTGCGTCCCGGGACACCTCTATTCGCCCCTTTTGCGCGGGCCGGCGTCATTCAGGCGTCCCGCTCGGCCCGGCTCGGCCCGGCTCGGCCCGGCTCGGCCCGCTCGGCCCGCTCGGCCCCGCTCGGCCCCGCTCGGCCCCGCTCGGCCCCGCTCGGCCCCGCTCGGCCCCGCTCGGCCCCGCTCGGCCCCGCTCGGCCCGAGTCACGGGAGAAGCACTGCAAATGAAGTGCCAAGCACAGCCAGCGCGACGCGATTCACCGGGGTTCGGCGAAGCGAGGCGAAGCGAGGCGAAACTCGCAGAGGCAGTGGGCTAATCCACTTCCAATCAGAGAAGTGGCGTGGCCGGATAAGCGGAAGTAACTCTTTGACTCGGTCTCTTTGGTGCGCAACTCGTGGCCCGGCCATTCACCATGGCCGCCAACACACCGACCGCGTTGGACACACCGACCGGGCGACGCACTGGCCCACGGCTCGCCTCGCACGAGCTGCGCGAGCTGCGCGAGCCACCCCCGACGCCAACCTGATCCGCGCGCTTTCTTCGGTGACCACGGCGTGGATCGATGGAGATGAGGCAGTGCGAGGCAGAGCGAGACAGGGCCGGATAGAGCACGTTTTTCGTTTGGCGCGCCGCGCCGCCTCGGCGTCTCGTCCGTTGCTCCACAGTTTTCTTTGAAGATGTCCGTTGCGGGCCTCTTGAGAGTAGCTACATTTTAATGAAACGGTTTGAAACTGACCACTGCCTCTTCTCCACTGGCCCGACACTTGATATCGAGCTGAGATAAGGGTCGGCAGACCGTTTGCCGTGGGCCAAAGACCCCCTTATGAAATCCATTGCGTTGAAGTCGGTTGGGTCTATGTGTTTGCCGAGAGACGTGTAACGTAATCAATCCCACCGGCACAGACTCAGGAGGCACTGCCCCCCAGGCCCGACCACTGCGGTCCTTGAAACACTGAACTTTGGGGGCGCCCGCAAGAGTCGCCAAGCACCACTAGGACGGCTAGGCCGACGGCCAGGCAAACACGGTGATCCGGCCTCTGAAGCTCAGCCGTAATTTGGTGGTGTTGGCGTGCCCTTGGTGGGTCACCCCTTTTAACAAGGCTGGAGAAACCACTTCTAATTGGCACAGCTGGGATCAAAAGGGTGCACCGACAAATATATTGTTGTGACAACTACATGTTTCTTCCCAGTGGTTCAAAAGAACAGTTAGGTTGATGCAACTAAAAATCAGGTGCCCTTTATTTCAGCTACAGCAATTGAAGCGTTACATTAAGGCAATAAATCTTGGAAAGTTTCAGGAGCCTTTGGTAAATTATCTGTTTTTCCTAGTGCTAATGACTTGACTTCATCCCACGAGTCGGGCCCCCGGTTTAGAAGGGGTCTTGATGGCTAACACATTTCACGGTAAAGCCACCGAGCCACCGTCACCTTCGCCCGGAAAATGCCCTTTGCTTTCCTTTCACTTTTCGATCAATCGGCGGCTTGCTGGAAAGCTAGCGGCGACGCGGCGTCGCAGCCCTGGGGCCGGGCCGGGGCTGGGGTTTCTAGGAAAGGAGGCTGGCACGCTGGAGGGGCGTGGCGGGGGGCTCAGGTTGTGCGGCGCGCTGCGGTCTTGTGGTGGCGCGGTGCTTAGCAGGGAGGGGAAAGAGGGGGCGGCCTAGTCGTGAAATCATGTTTCTGTAATGCTTCAAGTCAAATGTGTGAAACTTCTCACCGGACGTCTGGCCCGAACTCCAAAAGCAGTTATACCACAACGTCCAGAACAAACCTTTAACCAGTACGGAGCTGATTGAAGGTGCCCAGGGAGCGCGATCGCAACGCTGCGCCGATAGTTTTCTGAAACGGGAATGCTGTTGGAACGCGCATTTCGCTTTCCTGGTGACATTGACGAGGGTCGAGACCTCGGCGTTTTGGGTGAAACTGTCCCAGCGATCCAGGCTCCGCCGGCCGCACCGCTGACGGAACTCACTCCAAACTCATAAGCACGTCCCTACGTCCCTCTCCCATCACAGCATTGTCCACGAATACCTCAACTGATTCTCCGCGTTCTCGTAATTCAACTACGGTCAGATGGAGTGGCTTTGGGACAAAGGGTGAGCACGTTACAGCAATTTCCTGGACTAACTTTTGACATTCTATAACCTTTGATAAACCAAATGTCATGTCTTCATTGTGAAAATAGCAGTAGGGATGTCATCAGTTCTAAATAATCAAATCTTGTTCAGAAAACTGCTGTCCAATTCGTCCAGCGTCCCAAAATTAGCCCCAACAAACCCCATTTGGACGCAGCGAGGCCTCCCTCAGCCAGTCCACTGCCTCGTGGCTCGCCACTCCCCTCTAAAAGCAGCGCCGCGCGGCACTGCGTCAGCCCCGCCGTCAGCCCTTCACTGCGATGCCTAGCCTGGCTGCATATTCATCGTGGCCAGACAGGCCGCTGCTCTTGACAGTTACACTCAAATTTCACCGAAAAAGACGGGCGTGCTAACTCGCATCCGAGGGCCGAGTCCAGAGGGAAACGGAGAAAATGACAGGTGTGCTGCAAAGGGCAGGACGGAGATCCCCCCCCCCTTCGCAAGCTTCGCCGCGTTTGACGCACGGTGGAGTGGGTTATGTTCCTGTTTCGACCCTCTAATATCTCTTTCATACCTTTTAAAAGCGAATTTTCTCTTCTTTTCGGCTGTCACAACGCCACCGACCACGTTCTTATGGAATTGGATACACATTTACCGAAATCCCTCCTTTTAATGAAGCTTAAGATGGAGTTAGGAAAACTACTTAAGTACAGTCGCATCAGGTGCGGTTTAAGAGGGGGAAATTGGCGTTCCCCCTCCCCCTCCCCCGTGAGATTTCCTTAACGCCTGCTGGTAGGCAACCGGCATCACATCCCCTGTAGGTAGGCAAAATATACACAAACGCCCCCCTGTCGGGGGCTGCTTAGACCGCGCCTGAGTCGCATTGCATTTACAACTTTCACGCCACGCTTGTACACGGTCAGGACACGACCCTTCCAACAAAGTTTCCCTAGGAAGAAAAAAAGTCCCAACACCTCACCGCAACGCGCGTTTCTGCTCGATGCCCAAAATCCACAGCAATCTACTGGTGTTTGTTTCGCTGTATTGCTGAGCCGCCAATCGCTAGAATCCATCCTTTTACTAGGAAACCTTTCAGGGGCGGGGCTGCTGGTTGGGACTGGCGCACACCCAATTGCTGCAGAAAATATACCCTCGTTCAAAAAAATATATGTTGCAACCTGATTAGGGAGGGCCTCATTAGTGCCAGGAAAAGTTTCTATACCGTTCTTTGTCAGTGACGCCAGGTCAGCCCAGGTTAACGTCTAAATGGAAAATGGCCGCACCCTAGACACAGAAATAGACGGCGGTCCTAAAATTGTTCAAGTAAAAATTTCTAAGGCAAAAGTGCTTATATTTTAACAACCCTAGATGAAGGGGAAAGGGGGAGGGGTGCGGGCGCACATCGCCGGACATACTCTTGGGTGAGCCTCCGCTGTCGCGGGGTATGGACGCGACTTCAAGCGCAAACACTCCGCGACGCCAGAGACACACGCGTCGCGTATTGCCAAGATGACACGGTTCTGTGACAACCATCTAAAAGCCACCCCCCTCTCTCCGCTTTATTTGATGCGCAGCATAGACCCAAAAAGCTGGGGATCTTTTGCAAGACCACTTGTGTCCGACCCAGGCTGTTTAAAACCAAGAATAGGTATCGACGTAAAGGGGACAACTTAGTAATGTGCGTCTTTTCCGTCACCATAAAAGGATTCGTGTATTTTTGTCTAGAGTACTCCTACCCATTCAGTTAGAGCAAGGGCCCCTTCACTTCCGGGTGGCGTGGTAGGGGAGGGAAAAGCGGAAGCGAAGGCGATCAATGCCGTCAAAAGCAGAACCCTGCTGTAGAACCGCGCCACGCTGTAGACAACACCGAGCGGCTGTTTTCTTCAGTCAATTCGACGCGGCGAACGTTTGTCTCTTTTGGGGACGACCTTTGGAGAGTGCAGGTCAACTGAATTTAGAGCATCAAAAGCGTGCAGGCTTGTTGGAGAAGTTTGTGACGCCGTGCAAAGTGACTCTCTTCAAGGGGCAAAAACAAACTTTTTTCTCTTAGAGTGCGATATTTTTTTTTTCTCATCAATTGGCTTATCCGTTTCTCATACATTGGGCGAGACGCGAGTTTCGTCTAGAACCCATTAGTGGTCGTGTACTTATTTTCACTTTATAACTCCATTGTGATGACTGGTAAAATGCGCGTGTTTAAGATAAGATCTACGTTCTGTTTTCATTTTGCCCCACTGCCTTGTCAGTATGAGTAGAAAAGACAGGAGAAGAAACACATTTCCTTTCATGTACATCAAAAGCATTTAATTGAGAAATCAAAACAATTACTCATCTGATTTTCCACTTTTACGATCTTTCAAGTACAGGTTGCTTTTCTTACAAAAACCGAGCAAATGTGTGCCTGGTTTCCCATTATTAATATTAAAAGTAAATAACTATCTTACAAGGCAACACAAACATGGAACTTGATTATATAAATAAGGGAGAATATAAATAATACATCTAATATCACAGATACTGAGAGAACCAAGGGTAAATGCGTATACTTCAGAATGTACACAGATAATCATAGTGAGATATTCAAACAAAATGTCAGGCCCAGAGGCAGGCAGTAGGAAATTGGATCATTTTCTACGCTCAATGGTAGAAATTAGTCAAAAACTAAACATGATGGTCAAAATTTACTCGCAAGAGGGATTTGGCTATTAATTTACCATGCACACTAAACAGCATATGGTTGTCCCCTTGAAAGAAAGTAGCTGCATTGACAAGAGCTGAGGCTCAGCCACGACATGACCCTCGACGAGCCTGCTGCGCGTTGGACTTGACCCAACGCCTTTCCAGGCGCACGTTGGCGCCGTCCTTCAGTCCGAACGTCACCCCCGCCATGATCTTGAAGTCCTCCAGCCTCTTGGGGCCGTCGGGGCAGGGCAGGATGCGGAACTGCCTCAGGATGGTGGAAGCCACCACCTTCGCGGACATCATGCCGTAGCGCTGGCCGATGCAGTTCCTCACGCCAGCACTGCAACACGAAAGAAAGGTCTTGGTGACAGGGACTGGATATACTTGGAGATCAAACGTGCAGTAGTGGGTGAGCATAGGTCTACTTTCAGTGCCAGGAAGGAACTTACCTGAACGGGATGAAGGCGAAAGGGTGCCGTTCTCGGCTCATCTCCGGCAGGAAGCGATCCGGGTCGAACTTTTCAGGGTCAGGGAAGTGCTGGGGGTTCCTGCAAACATAATCCTCCGTTACACACGCGTTGACGGGGAAAATTTAGAGTCTGCTTGCACGGGATTTGCAGGCTGCGTGTGGCAAATGTTACCTGTGGGTGATGTAGGGCATGACGGCCACCACGCTGCCTTCGGGCAGCACCGGTCCGGAGGGCAGCTTCACGTCGCGCGACACGGTCCGTGAGAAGGTGAAGAGTGGCGGGAACAGACGCAGCGTCTCCTTGAGGGCGCACTCGAGGTACTTGAGGTGGGGCAGGTCGTCCTCCTCCACGGGCCGGTTCGAGTCACCGAACACATCGTCAAGCTCCTGTAAGGAAATTAACATCAATTACGGAACTGTTTGCCACCCTTGTGTGTCTCAAAACTTATCAACCCGGTGGAATGTTAAGACCAAATCAAAATTTTTAAATTGCTATAGATTCAAGAACGAGTTGTTGCACGTTTTGTCAGGATGCAGTCGCTCAGTGTTCGCTGGCTACACACCTTGGCCACCTTGTCCTGGACGTCGGGGGAGATGGACAGGGAGAGCAGGAAGAAGGACAGGAGGTCCATGGTGGTGCCCACGGCGCCCGCACTCAGCGTCTTGAGCTCCTCGATGATGTCGCGCTTGCTCAGCACGTGCGCCTCGTCCGAGGTGAGGAAGTGGTCCAGGAAGGACTTCCTCTTGCTGTCCGTCGGCGACTCACCACTCTCGAGCTGAAACCATTGAGGTAGCGTTACACTTTGCACGGCCTCTTGTGTGATGATCTAACGATCTGTAGTCGGCAACGCGCTTACCAGCTGAATCTTGTGCTCCAGCGTCTTGGACACGAAGGACTCGGAGCCGCGCACGCAGTCCTGGTATTGCTGGTACTTGCTGGAGAACTTGAAGATGGCGTCCACGCTGTACCAGGGCCGCATCACGCGGTGGAACAGCATCTCGGAGCTGCGGATGAGGCAGTCGCAGAAGCGCTCCTGCTCCTCCATCAGGTCCAAAGGGATGTCCCCGGCCGAGAAGACGGTCTGGCAGATGGACTGCGCGGAGTAGCTGCCCAGCAGCGGCGTGGCGTTGAAGGTGCGCCCCGTGCCGGTGTGGCGGTCCAGCTGCGCGCACAGCGTGGACGCGTTGCGGGCGAAGACGGGCACGAAGCTCTGCACAGGGCCAAAGGTTTCGTTGAGCATCAAACTGGAAGACCAGATTGGCAGGTACCACACTGCTAGCGAAAGCCTGGGGTTTACCTTGAGGATGTCGAGGTGCAGGGACGGGCTGATGGCCTTGCGATGCCGGCGGTGCGTTTCCCCGTTCAGGGTGGCCAGCCCCGTGCCCAGGATGGGGGACAGCGAGTCGTACACGATCGGGGGCTTCTTCTGCAAGTGCGGGCTGCTGAACACGATCTGCAAGGCAACGCCGTGGTTCAGAATCGAGGCTTTTCGTTTTTTTGGCCATTAAGATCGCCTAGAAATGTTCGGGAGGGGGGCGGGGGCGAGGGGGTGAGGCGACTTGCCCCCCCAAATCGTGGGGGCTCGCACCCTCCACATTTTCATTACGATCACAAAACTGCAGCAATTCGAGCTCGAATAGAAAACCAGGATTGCAAAGTCGCAAGTCTGTGGTTTGGCTTCTACAGCCGATCTGCGGCATAGTCTTCTTCCAGTTTCCCTGGAATTTTAACCGTTTGGCTCTGGCCGCAAAAGCGAGCATAGACGCCTAAAAAGGCAAACAGTTGGCTATCCAGAATTGTGGCAATTTGCATTTAGCTGTTACGTCGCTGGAGTCAACATTTTAAGAATCGAAACCATATGGGTTTGCCCCTACGTAGGCAACCTCTCGAAATTCTAAAATTTCGCCCCCCGAAAGTACTCGGCGAGCCTGCTTATCGTTTTTGCCATCAAATCGCCTAGAAAAATGTCTTGGTGAAAGCATTTGCAGCTGTGGCGGAGGGAGTCAGCAAGTCGCTGCACTGATTTGGCCTACTGCTTTTGGTTCCTAATGTTCACTCTCACACTTTCACATTTTTTTCTCGTTTAGAAGTTAACTGCTGCACTTGAAAACTAAGACTCGCAAGGTCCCATAGCTAGTCTGCACCACGACAACTCACCTCCAGGTCCACGGGGTCGCTGACGAAGATGCAGACGGTGGGCGGGGCGTAGACACGGACCACGGTGCCGAACTCCCTCGCGGCCTGCTTCACCTTGCCCAGGAGCTGGTCCAGCGGCCCGGCGAAGCGCAACACGCCGACGGCCGGGCCGGGCACGGCGGCGCAGCGCCAGTAGAGGCGGGCCGTACGCAGCATGGCGGGGCCCAGCATGGCGGCCAGCAGCAGCACCACGACCGCCAGCAGCAGTGGGGACATGGTGACGACGGGGAGGCGCCAACAATGAACTGCCTCCGGCAGGGCTGGCTTCTTAAGCACGCACGTCCGGATGACGCGCCACGCGTTCTGTGACGCGGGAACACAATCAACAACTTTTTCCAGCGTCGCGACGTACAGAGTCGCGATGTCTGACAGGAGTCAATCCGGCGTCGCCAGCCAGCGGATCGGTTGAATGGCGGTGACGCTGGTCACTGCACGACACACGACCAACTGAAGGAGCCCTGGGTGGCCCGAGTCTTTTTATCACATTCAAACCAGAGCTAATCTCGGCACTCGGGCATCCCATAAATGAACCGCCTCCCGCCCCGCCGGTGGATCCCGCAGGCTGCTCGAGACCGAGTGCACTGCGGAAATTTGGGAGAATCAAGAATGAGAGGAAAAAACTGGCATTCCGTATCGCTTGGGAGACACATTCCAACAGCCGGTGGCAACTCCCCTTGCCCGGCTGAAACCAGGCTCGGAAGCGGAGCGGCTCCGTTTTCCAACTTTTAAACGAATAAAGCTAATAGAAGCTATTTGATTGCCACATAACGAGTACATCAGGGCAACGTAAAATTTCACGTAGATTACGATTCTGCACTTACATTTGCAAAAGGACGAAGGATTGCGGAAATAATCACGGATTATGTTCATATTGCGGCGTCGGCTCGCTCGTATCAGCTCGTCTCATATTTGCCGAATGTTAATGTAAACAAACTAAAGCAGCTGGAGGAAAACGGTCACTTGCAATCGAAAGATCACACTTTTTCCCTTGGTATAGAGACCATTGCAAAGCTCGAACGCCCGCTAAAACAAGTATTTCTGTAAAGAAACAACAGGGAATGATTTGAGCCGACATAACCTCAATTCCGGAACAGGTTTTGTTTCTCTGTTTAAATACTTGTTTTAGCGGGCGTTCGAGCTTTGCAATAGTCTCTATACCAAGGGAAAAAGTGTGATCTTTCGATTGCAAGTGACCGTTTTCCTCCAGCTGCTTTAGTTTGTTTACATTAACATTCGGCAAATATGAGACGAGCTGATACGAGCGAGCCGACGCCGCAATATGAACATAATCCGTGATTATTTCCGCAATCCTTCGTCTTTTTGCAAATGTAAGTGCAGAATCGTAATCTACGTGAAATTTTACGTTGCCCTGATGTACTCGTTATGTGGCAATCAAATAGCTTCTATTAGCTTTATTCGTTTAAAAGTTGGAAAACGGAGCCGCTCCGCTTCCGAGCCTGGTTTCAGCCGGGCAAGGGGAGTTGCCACCGGCTGATTCCAACTGCCGCATGAGAAATCGGGGTAATAATTTTTGTTATTTGAAACTTGCCGCTAAAGTGGACGAAAGTCCGCGGACAATAAGGTTGTCAATAACAAAATACGTGGAATTCACAAGTCATTACCAGTGTTGTTGAAACATTTTGATAGCAACGCGTACCATAGAAACCCAGTTCGCGTTAATTCAATAACGTTCTTTGAAGAGTGTGTGGGGATCGCACGATGTGGTGTATGTGTGTGTGTGTATCCACCTTTCTCTTAATGAAAGAAGTCACCAAAAAAACCGAAATATTATCAAGTAAACAGCTATTGATCGTGCGACGCGGGCACTATGAAGTACCCTCACTCATTGAAGCAGGCCACTTAGCGAGTCGGCCCCACTTGCGATTGCCTCTGACCGCGGCGCCAGTTCCTCAAACGCGGTGCACGCGTTTGCACTTAACCTTTGGCAGTCCGGCTGATGTGCTGAACATCCGACTATCTCGCGCGACACCATTGTGTACTAAACGCTGACGCAAAACGCGGCTTCTGTCTGGTGGCCTTCAGAAAGGCACCGATGACTCGAAGGGAATCGAACCACAGCTGCAGGCGATCACACCTTGCAAAGGAGATCGTAGGAGTAACCTCGTTTGCGAACTTCCCAACATTGCGGCAATGCAGGTTTTGAAAGAATCCCCACGCTCCGTCGTTCCACTCCTCAGTGACTTTTCATTGTTTTGTCTGCATGTTCGTCAATAGTCGAAGAAAAATGTGTTGTTAGGGCGTGAGAGCCCTTCGACCTGGCAAGGATGGACAGCGTGTTTTTCCAACAGAATGCGTTGTTTATCAATGCATACGATGAAGAACCTAACACCTGTGTCGGGCAAAGCATGGACGTCAGAGCCAAAATTCAATCTCAATGACCCAGCGCATGCCTTGATGGCTCTGTGCACGTTTTAATCAAATAACATACAGCGCTCAAAAACTGAAAATTGCAAGCTTATTAAAAATTGTGCCACCGAAATGTAGAATATATAACATATCCAAGAATGCATTGTGTACAGTTACGGAGGTGTTTCATTCGTTGTTTATCAAATAAATAAGTAAATCAGTAACAACCATTTTATTTACATTAGAGATACATTTCGTTTCTCGTCTACATGTTTTACTCTGGAATCTATCGAAAAAGGCACCATCAGTCACAACAAGAGTCCACCTTTAAGCAATACTCGACACAATGATGGGATTGCCTGGCACAAGGGCCCCCTCACGAGCATATCGTGTACGGAAGCACACACAGACCGTCCCTCGTCGGGTCCACGAGGGGGCCCCGAAGTCAGGCTTTCCTGTGCAAGAATAAAACAGGCAGTTTGTAGCCAAACGGTTCAATACAGTCGTGACGAAATCGGATCAAAAATAGGTAGATCTAGGTTTGACATTCCCCACCGAGTTTCACGTCACGGAATCCAGACGACTCCATCCAGATTCGAAGAAATGTCAACCACGGTAACTGCTATATTCTATTTAGAGTAACAGGGAGATTTAAATAGATGAATGGGTCACAACCAGGCCAATTAACCTGATGCCACGATATTTGGGATTTAAGATGCTATTCCAAAAGACTCCTTTCTTCTATTTTAACAAAAGTGCGATATTGTTTCCCAACATAGGGTGCACGGGCTTCTAAGGAGCAACGTGCATACTGGGATGGCAAAAGATATCAAAGTTTCTAGTGAGAAATTACTTGGAAGTTGGTCAGCAACTGGTAAAGAAAAAGCTACTATACAGATGCAAAAAACAAAATCAGTTACAAAAGTTTTACATCCTTCTAGAGACTTTAAATATATAACACGAACCATTATTTATTTACATCGCCCATTTTCCCTGCATTTGATTAAAAAGTCAAACCACAACTTTCATGAGAGTTGCTATTCACAGAGAAGAGTAGATTTTGGAGTGCCTCACACAGTTTCCAACGCTTCTGTTCCCGTTGTTGGTCCCGGAATCCCCTGTCTAAGCAATACAGTCCTGTTTTGTTTCCATATTCTGCTTGCCAACCACAATTTGCTGGTTACATAAGACCACGCAGGCATCTCGAGAAACGCTACCCTAAAAAGACACTACAAATTTAACATTCAGGTTGGGCGGCAAGAGGTAAATAAGAATATATACCATTATCTAAAGTAGCGACGTACACCATACAACAAGGTGAATTACAGAAAGGAAATCGATAAAATTACAAAATCACACACAAGATTTGGATCCTGACGAACAAGTTTTTCCAAAACTCGCAGCAGTACGCCGTCAGGGCGTCGGGGAAGTCGATGGAAGCCGCCCAGAATCGGCGTACCTCTTGTTTTCGAAAACCGTGTGTATCGACCCTGCCACGCGAGTGGGTGCACCGCGTGGGCCTTCCACAACAACATCACCTCCCGCCACCCGCCATGCAACCCGCAGTTTAAATGTAAGTAGAAAAAGTGAAAGGGCCGGGCCGGGTGACCACGATGCCTCTTCCGAACTACGCGACATGGTCCCACTTCCCAGCAGTGCGACCTGTGCAGCGTCTGGTCGGCCTGGTCGGCCAGGCTGGCACTGCCAACCACGCCGTCGAACCGCCCGCACGAAAACGAAAAAGAAATAGGGAACGAAACCGCTCTAGTGACTCGCGGGACGCGGATGGAACTTCACTGCGTCCGGTTTGGATTTTCCCACAGCATATGAAAGCGCCCTTGATCGCAGTGACACCAGAGTAGCGTCTTTTTTTGTTTTTCAAGAAATGAGAAGGGACGTAAACTGGATGGGGCAAAAGGCCGGTAAAAATAAATGGTTCAAATTTTCCAATCCAAAGACCCTGGTCGTACTCTAAATGAGAAATGCAATAAATTCCGACTTCGAAGTAAACTTAAAATAAGACTGTTGCCTCCACCGAGTTTTTTACAGCTCCAATCGTCGCAGCAAACTTGAGCTGATAACGATGGCAGCAGCCGCACAGGAGTCTGGCCAGGTCATCATGCAACATCAAATCGGTTACGCACGCTTGCTTGTCTGTGCGGCTGACGCTCGCAGCGAACCCTCGTCCGCAACTCTCATGTCCCTCTCACGCAGCACACATTCACCGAATTTCCAAAATCCATCCCTTACTACCACGAGCAAGAAGAGTTCGCCAAGACGGCATGCAGAATGGGAGTTACACAAATAGAAATGACACAAAATTTAGGCAAGTACAGATCCAAGCACACAGTCGCGTTCACTCACACACTTACACTTACAGTAGGTATTAACGCACATTGTTCGATGTACCTTCGGCAGGTACTAGAAAAAGCGTCACTTTGGCGTTTCGTGCTGCTCATGCAGAGTCCGGGGTTCTCGGAGCCCTCGCAGGCCCCGGCCTGTTCACGGCCCGCCCCCTGGCCCCGCGGCGCCTTGGCCAGCCTCGGGGGCGGGCGGTGCACGCTACAAGTGCTGCTCCAGCTCGACGTCGCCGTCGCCGTCCCCAGGCGGCGAGGGCCCGGACACGGACAGGACGGGCATCTCGAACTGGCCGCGCCGCAGCAGGCGCTTCCGCGACCTGGCCGCCGCCGTGGCCTCCTCGTCGCCGTCATCCGCGTCGTCCTCGTCGTCGTCCGCGGACGCGCCACCGCCACCACCGCCGGCCGTGCGCAGCGGGATGTTCTCGGCCGAGCGCGCCCGCCGCGCCCAGGGCCGCGCCAGCCCCGAGGCCAGCAAGGACGCTGCCAGCGTCCGCGCCGAGCCCGCATACCCCCCGGAGGACCCCGACACGCCCGCCGCCGCGCCGCGCTGCCCAGAGGCTGCGGCGGCCGCGGCGTGCTGGCACTCGGCGCTGATGTAGATGGCCGAGTTGACTCGCGACCGCACCAGCGGCGCCAGCGGCCGGTGGATCTGGATGGAGGACCTCGTGCGCAGCCACGACTCGTCTGCGTCGTCCGCGCTGCAGTGCGCGGGCCAGTGCAGGTGGTGCTGCAACATCGACAAGCTGCTGCCAACACCGCGCAAGAAGGCGGCCCGACGGACAGTAAACCCGCACGGCACAACGGTTCTTGGTTTCCCCAGAGAATACATTGGGAGTCCCAGGGAAGACCAGGAACCGTTTTTACCGTCCAAAAAAGAACTGACATGGAGATGCAGCGTCTGCAGCCTGCCCGCCCGCCTACCATCATCGTGTGCGTCCGACACTGTGAAAATTTGTTGTCACTTTATGACAAAAACGTGGATGACATGTTCATCACTTTGAAATGACGACAATTTCGTCCAAATTGATAACATTTTGATCAAAGCTCCTATACTTATTGCATGGGCGTGACAACAATGTCATCAATTGACTTGATGACATCCTTGTAAGGAAAATTAGCCTTGAAATTGTCATCAAGTGACGACTCAAATTTTCACAGTGGATGGGGATGAATTGGCCACTCTCGACAGTGCAGGTGTGACAAAAGTGGAAAGCGAATCCGTTGTCTGAGACACTTGTCACACCTGCCGTGTCCTTTGACGTCAAAGACGTAAGAACAGTCCCACACATTGATTGGGACTCAATTGGGCAGAGGTTGTTCAAGGCTGCTTACTAAACTCTTAGGATAGCACGGGTTAGGAAGGACGGTAAAGGGGGTCTCTACTTACGTGTTTCCAGTTGACCTGTCAAAAAAGTACACATAGCTTTGCCAAACTAGGTACCGGCACCCCTTCCCCCTTCCTCTGTTTCCATTGATCTTTAATTTAAAACGTTTAGATCGTTAAAATTTGGGCAAGTTAAACACAAAAAAAGCACTTATTTCTCTGCTTCTTTAATTATTCGTCTGCCAGCAGTCCAAAGGTGGAGAGTGAGCCAAAATTGGAAGCGAGCGTGGTGTTGACGTGCCGCCACACAAAACCATATTCTGCGCCCCAAGACCGCGGACAAGAGGCGGGCTGCCTTCGATCGGCGTGGCGGCGTTCAGGGAGCAACCCAGCCGTGACGGCGGCCAGGTGGACAGGCGGACAGGCACGTGGGAAGAGGGGCCGTGCATTAGCCCGACTTTGCGAATCAATAGGCGACGGAGTGCTGTCCACATGGTGGACTTCCCCTCGAGCGGGGCACCCCGCGCCCACCACCCACCCGACAACAGTTTGGCAACAGCAGGCAGTGAGGAGGTTATGCTTAGCGGGCCGTGCTCGATTTTATTTATTAATAACGAGGGTTAATTTTGTTGTTTTCTCTGCCGGTAGCAGTTTTGTCTTTAATTTTAGCTCCAGGCAGGTGGGCATGCGGACAGCCGGGTTATTTACAACGGACACTCTGACTTGCCGTTACAACTTTGACGTTCAGATTTACCCGGCCGAGAAACGGGAACTCTGCTTGTCGAGTGCAGACGGGCTTTAGCCTTTCCGCATTGTCCTGCAATCGATCCAAGAAAAAGCAAACAGAAAGGAAAACGTGAAAAAAAGGCAGCAGGTGCGTGTATGGAGCTGAAAACAGGAAAAGGACTCGACACGAGTCCATGGAAGAAAAAAAGTCTCTCAATGTTCGGCCGTTTTGTTCTCGTTTTATCGTTCCGTGGAGAACAAAGCGGCTCATTTTGTTTATTCAAGAAATGTTCTTTGACTACTCGAGTACAGTGGGTCAATGCAAATGGGCTTTTTCAAGAACATTTCTTGATTCACGAACAGTATTACTGCAGGGTCAAGTGTACAACTACATGTCTATTTCCACCTGTCAGATTAACAAAGTTCCATCTACAAATTGTAACTACATCAAATACACTTACATACAAAAATATTTGAAGTCATAAATACAACCAAAATAAGTTTACGGTGGGTTCTAGGAAAGCAAAAGGGGAGGGTCTCTATACGTTGCTGAAAAGTATAGAGCAGCCCACTAGCTGGTTACCCTCGAAATAAATAAGTCACTAAATAAATCGTCCGTGCCGATTACAGTGCGTAGCAGAGTCTGGTTACTCGATTATCCAAAGATTTGCCGTCCAATGCAAGGTCCTGCCGGTAGAGATACCCCCACCCCAGGGGCTGCAGCCAAGGAACTTGTCGTTCGCAAAGACGTTGCTACTGCTGTGCGGCAACCCGACTCGCATGCGTCTACAGATGTACTAAGTACCAAGGTACCCGGCGCCCCGTACCTACGGTACCTACCGTTGACCTGTGCAGGACCGGAGACACTTCTCTGCCCCAGACTCGCTCTTTATACTCCTACGAAGACGCAAATAGCACACAATTAAGTTCGATCGCGTCAACAACCCCGCCAGCCCCTACCCTATAACAAGGGTCTGCAACAAAAACAGGAGGGGGGTGAGAGTCCAAATGGATGTCGAAGAACCAGTGTGTGACTATCGCCTAGAAAAGTCCACGCCGAACGTACTCCTACGACTAGCAAGTCAATTCCAGGAAACTAGATCTACGCTGCGTGGGGATAGGACCACAAAGTCTGACACTGAACGCTTTAGAGCCGAGAGCTACACTTACAGCTAGAAAACAAAACAGCAGCAAGACAAGAAGAAACGTGGTGACATTACAGTACTAGGGACCGTCATGGCTGGGGTTGTCTTTGGCCTTGCAAAACCACGTGCCCCGGAGAGCACACACGCTATGGGTGGAAAGAAGCCTCGGACAGCAGAAAACACGCGCCACTCTCTTTGCAGGGGAACAACTCTCGCTCATGACAGCGTTTCGCATTGAGGGGCCACCAGCCTGCTTCTCGCCCTGCTCGGAGTGTGGCACGAGGCCCTGCCAGAGCCGACTACAACTCCACGCGTGCTGCACAGTGCTGTACAGTGAGTGCAAAACACACGCATCACGGCCGTGCCAAGGAAAGCACACCAGATATGTACAGCGCGCTGCAGCGCCTCCCTGCGAGGCTTCAAGGCCGCGGCAAAAGGGACTTACGCGAGTCGCGAGGCCGCGAGGCTGGGCCGCGGTCGAGGGCGAGGCCCCGAGCTCGGGCCAGTCTGAGGCCGAGGCCGTGGGCGAGGGGCATGTCGGGCTCGAGTGCTAGGTGTCGGCCCGGTGGAGGAGGGCGAAGCGACAGTTGCAGTCTCTGGGCTCGGGTCGCGGCGACGCGTACGAGCTGAAGCACTGCTCCAGCACGCAGCAGCCCTGTGGCACCCGGACCGTCACCACACCGCACCACGCCGCGCCGCGCACCCCGAGAAAGGCCCCAAATGGACGGCTGCACTGTGACACCAAGAGCGCCACGCTTCCTGGTGCTCTTGGACTCGTGAGCGGAGCTTGCAGTCCCCACACTTGGTTTCACGGCGAGGACAAGCCCCGTAAACACTTCGTCCATTTCAGACCTTTTCACATGTTTACCACACAAAAAGAAACTACAGAGGAAACTCTAATCTCGTCATGTTTGCCTCTACATTTCCTGTGCCCTCAGCAGTTTCACATTCAGAGGCGAAAATTGTTTTCGATACATCGAAGCCGAAAGCGCAGACTCACTCAGAACAACTTTGAACCGAAGGTTCTTTCGGGCATTTTCCACAAATTTACACAATTTTGACTCAAGTAAAACAATTTGGCTAGGATTCATAGGACTTGCTGAGCTCAGTGTCCTGGAATGAACTAGTTGCGAGGCAGGCTGACGCTGGCTGACTTCGACACCGGTGCATCGCGGCAAGGACGTCACCGGGGAGGGAAGCGTCTCGACTACACTGTCAAAAGTTTGGTGGTCACTTGTCGATTTGTGCCAAAATTGGCATCATATGAAAGTATAATTTTCTATTCAGTCATAAAGTGCCAACACATTTTGAGAGTGTAGTCGCGGCGGCCGTCTGCGCCTTCTGCCGTCTCACTGCAGTTTCCAGCCTGACTCCATTCCTTCCAGCCGCTCTGTCTCTCTCGCACCCCTACGAGGCACCACGTGAGCGCGACAGAGACAGAGCGACCAACCAGCCCTCCATTTCTTCTGACAGCCGTGCCCGGCGTCTACGCGGCACATGGGTAGGGAAGCAAGCAGCACGCCGCTATGGTGACATGAGAGTACTCGGGGGGTCCACTGTCCACCAGGTCCACAAGGTCCACAGGGTCCACAGGGTCCACATACAGCACTCAAACGTGATCGACACTAGGGGGTTGTTGGGGCGGTGCCGAGCTACGCCTCTAGACGTCTCCAGGCCCGTGCCAGGCATGTGGTGTGAGGCATTCCCCAGGCCGGCCAGAGAGGCCCCATGCAATGCCCGATACTGCCCCATTCGTCCCGGGAAGGGTGACTTTCCGGAGGCCTACGCGCTACGCCGTGTGTGTGTCTGTGTGTGTGTGTCCGTGTGGCTTGTGCTGTGCAGGTGCCCGAAGGTTGGACCTACGCTTGGCGAGCGGCGCTCGGCCTGGGGCCCCAGGGGCGGCCCGGCCGAAAGGGGGCGTAGCGCTCAGTCAGAACCGCCCGGGACGAGTTCGTACGTCTAGAAGAACATGCAGGCCACAAAGTTAGAGCTGTGGCGCTGGAAGGACCTCCGGGAGTGCACGTTCAAGGAAGGTTCTCGCACATTCACACGGGACGTGAGTGGGCGGATGAATGCGTTGAAAGGGCAGCGGGATTGCGGCTGGCGACGCGAACGGGGCGAAAGGACCCCAGGACTGCCCTGCCGGCCACACCGCCGCCTCCCCCTGCTTGGCAGAAGCAGTGGGCGGTGGGCCGACGGGCCGGGCATTCACTGAACCAAGTCCAATTCTTCAGCTCCAAATCGGAGAGTTAACAAGGTTCTTTGGGTTATTTTTCAGGCAAACAGCAGTGGAGGCAGCGCTCTTCCCCGCTTTCACAGAATACCGAATTCCGGTTGGCTAGTGGACACAGCCCGAGCACACAGCGCCAAGGGCAACGCGGCATCGACCTGTATATTTGTGATGACTGACTCAAAGGGAGCTCAGCTTGGTCTACATCACCCGGCCATCCTGCCAACATTTTGTGCGACGGTAAAGCTCAGTGCAAAAAAATTAGCCTCGATAATTTTCGAAATCATCAACAAAAAAATTATTATCTCTCTGCGAAAACAGTAGAATGTCATTATGAATCTGATAATTATCTTTTTCTTTTTTTTCTTTCGGGTGATCGATTTTAAAAGCGAGTGCAATGTCTACTGTTTACTTACAAAATTGTGACATACTGGAAATGAGGGGCACTTATGTGGTGCACACTGCAAAACAGAAACAATATTTTTTTCAAAATCATAATTCCTTTCGCTGTCGCTGATGGAGCCCTTGGTGTTCGAGAGAGGGAAGGGAGAGGGTGCTCGCGATGTAGGACCAACATGCGTGTGCTTCTGAGAACCTTCCTCCAACATCACTTCAGTTCCGGCGACATTTAGTTGGAACAAAAAAAAATATCCTCCTCCTGCTCATCGTTTTCAGGCGATGAGAAAAGTCAGAAAAAACTCGTAGAGAAAACAAATTAAAAACAGAACTGAACAGACTGCGAGAGAGGGTAGGGATGGTTTACCTGCGAGCACGAGGTGGCATGCTGCCCGGCGCACGGCGCCCCGCTCGCGCCCCCGCAGGCCCCCGTGCCCGGCACCTTGAGCTGCTCCTTGTAGTCGGGCTGGTACGGCAGCAGCATGCGGATCTTGCCCCACCGGTTGAAGAAGAGCACGATGGCGCCCACCCACACCAGCAGCACCAGCAGCACGATGCCCACCTCCACGCCGCGGACCTGCAACCGTGCAACCACTTTCTTCAGTTTTTTGGCGAGTGGTAGCTTGTGAAAGGGAACCAGCTTCGCAGAGCGATTTGTTTTCTAGTACAGTGCTCGCGCGAGCAGTGACCGTGGTTGCCGAGACGGCTGCCTGGCTGGCTGCCTGGCTGCCTGGCTGCGGCTACCGTCCCGGCAGGTCGAGAGGGAGATCACCTCCGCCTTTTCGAGCTCCGGCCGCGGCGGCTAACCGCTACGTCCACTCCGTGTTCCACTACGTCCACTACGTCACACCGTAAGTCCCCTCCCACGCGGGGCCTATCGGCGAGACGGCTGTCTATCGACGCCACGCGACACTTGACCGCGCGCGAGCACTGCGTACGCTTCTCCAACAAATCTCCCATGATGTACAGTTTGCCAACTAATCGGTATAGCTACGCGACAGACAAAGATGGAGAATAGAGGAAACGAGAGCCATGTTCCGTGCACCAGCAAGACGGTCTGGTCAGCACGTTGGCACCGGCTATCAATGCTTTTGAGATCGCATTCTTTTCAACGCGATTGAGTATCACCCACTTATTACGTAACCTTTTTTTAAAGCTCTGTCCTTGTTCCTCCTTATGGACTGCCAGTGAGTGCGAGAGAGACGGAAGACGTTACGCAATAAGTGGACGAATCCTGCTCGCATTGATTTCCAGTGTACGCATTCTAGCGCTCATGTGAGCGACTGGGGGAGCTCAAAGAAGTGTCTAAGAGTGTCGTGGTGATAGCGCAGGTATATGTACAGATGGTTGTGAGTAAAACCGAGAGCAAAACACTACACTAGAGTAAAATATGTCACAGCGTGAAATTTCAGAGTTTTCTGTCAGAGTGCGCCATCTGTGGAGAAGAGGCAATTCACAACAAACTGTGTCATGTCTATAAGGAAAAGGAAAGGATTGAAACCTGATCTGCAAGCAACACCGCGATCAGGTCGCTTCTTACAAAGTAGGAGTAGGCCTACGGGGGCAGGTGCCATTTCAAAGCACAAAGGGTGTGATCACTCCGCACTTCCCCTCTCACTCACTCACACATACACACTCAAACACACACACTCACACACTTTATATACATAATATACAGAGGGCTGAGGATGGCTCTAGTCTACGAAACGAGAAGCCAAAGCACAAGGTCCTCGCTCAGCCAGCCCCGTTCGGCCGCTAGCGTCGGCCGCTGATGCAGCCCTAGCTCTCCTCCGGCCATGCTGTGATTGGTGCGTGCCAAAGTATCATGCGCAACGAAGGAATCGAGTTATCATCCACTCCTGTACAAAAAATGGCGCGAAAAGAAGAATGAAGAAGAAATGAACCACGCAGAAGAAAAATAATCGAGTGAGAAGGAGGGAGAGTGATAGAGAGAGGAGGAAAGAATAAAGTGGATTATGTTCCACTGAACGCATAACACCAGGTACGGTTGGTCTGAGCTCGGATCATCTCTGGCAGGGGCATACATACTGTGGACCACACCTGAATGAAATCCTGAGGCACGGGGGGGTTGGGGGGTATGACAGGGCTCTTGTTGGCCTTGGACGAGCCGCCCTGGCCCGGCGACGATGCGCTGGCGCCCCCTACCCCGGCGGGTCTGGGTGCCCCCAGGAAGGGCACCCCTGTGACCTGGGGCGCGTCGGGGTCGGCTGTAACAGAGAGACGGGCGCGCGGTCAGTAAAGCACCACCACCACCAACAACAACAACATAGACACAACAACGACCATCCAACATAAACAAAGACACTTTTTATTTTGCACAAAAAAGTCAACAGGCTACAATGATCATTGTGGTGAAACATTGAAGGATATTTTTTTTCCTGGGCGTAGTGCTTCCTGTGAGGGCATCAATGATTGAGTGCGACCCCATGGCGTGCAGTGCCGCAAGGTGGAGAGGGTGTCGTCTCGCTCGGTCTCTGTCACTCTGCGACGCTCGGTGAGGACCGCCGGGGACCGCCGGGCGGATGGTTCCAGGCCGGATGGCTGCGGGGTAGGGCGGGCCGACCGGCCTCACGGCTATCAAGCTTAATAATTCTCGCGGTTGTGGAAGGGGGCGAGGTAGAGAGAGAGAGAGAGAGAGACTGACAGACAGACAGATTGAGAAAAGCAAAGTTAGTTGCGTAATCCTCCGCGTCTCCAGCGGGCCGAAGCCGACCGAACCGAACGCAGCGACGCCGGATTGTTTTCCAGAGACAGTGACAGGAATAGAAGTGCCTCTTGCGTCACGGCAGCCATGTGTTCGGTATCAACGGCCGCGAGGGGAGAAGCCACCGTAAAAGGGGGTGGGGGGGGCGGCATCGTCGTCACTCTGAAGAGGCGCACCCCCCGGCCGATCGTCATCGTGACACGCACGCGGCACGTCACCGTGACGTGGCTGAGACGGTTGTGTGACGAGTCACGCGCCGTGCCTGACGGCTATACGGCGCTCACGACTTGCACGGACACGCCGGACTCGGCTTCCTTTCGGCGTCGCTGACGTGCCTCCGCCCCAACCTTTGCGTTGCCCGATGATGCAATGCGGGCACGCGCCTCGGACTGCGGTGTGCAGAATCCACCCCCTGGCCAGCGCCCCACCCCCCGCGCGGCCAAAAGGTCATCGCGGTGGTTATATCTCTCTGCGATGTAAATGTGGGGGCCGCGGACAGGCCGCGCCACGCGAGCGGGCCATCGCGAAGACGCCACGCCGCCGAGCCACGACACCCCGGCACGCCAAGTTTGGAGCCGCCGGTGTGCGAAGCGTGCCGGCGGCGTGGCCAACTCCCCGGCGAGAACACGGAGAGCGTCGTCTCCCCCCGCCTACCCGCGACCGCGCGGCTAAAATCGGCCAGGCCCCGCGTGGGCCGGCCCAGCTAGCCTGGCCATGCTAGGAAAAGCCGGGCCAGCCGCGAGACCAAGCTTGGCCAAGCCAGGGCAGCCTAGACCAACGGGCCGGGACGGGCCGGGCCGGGCCGGCCGCAGACGCCATAATTGGACACACTGGCTCTAGTCCGTCCAAGATCGATCACTGCGACGGAGCGGTGTGGGGCGGGGCGGGGCGGGGCGGGGCGGGGCCTCGTATCGCGTGGACAGGATTGACCGACAGCCCTCCGATAAGTCGATCTGGCTCCCCACCCCAAGGCCGTGGCGGACCACGGCGGCGAGGACGGCGGCGAGGACGGCGACGAGGACAGCGTCGGGCCGCGCGGCCGGGCGACCGAGGGCGCCGTCGACCAGCCCGCACCATCCTCGCCGTCGCCGCCCCCACGAAGTGGCAGACCTCGACCGGAAGTATTGATTGGGCCGAGGCGAGGCGTACCCGGCGGGTGTCCCTCCATGCCCCGTCTCTTGGACACCCCGAGCCCCTGCTAAAGCACCACCCACCCCCGACCGGTTTCGGGTGCACACCCCCGGCCGGGCTGTCAACCGCGTGAGTTTGACGGAATGTTCACTGAGAATAAACGCCGCGGTTGTCGAGTGGTCGGTTGTACGCGCCGAGAACCGGTGCCAGCTGGCTGCCTCCGCCACGGGGGCCTCGTTGGTGGGGCCGAGAGACTTGAACGAAAGGTAAGGCAGCGGCCTGGACGGCCTGGAAGGGCTCGAAGGCCTGGACAGCCAGGGTAATCTAGACGGCCTGGAAGGGCTCGAAGGCCTGGACAGCCAGGGTAATCTGGACGGCCTGGAAGGGGCCCTGGAAGGGGCCCTGGAAGGGGCCCTGGAAGGGGCCCTGGAAGGGGCCCTGGAAGGGGGCAGCCGGCGCGTGACTGATGGCCAGTGCGGGCGATCGCGGCGCGCGAACGCGCTCGGTTAATGCGCCAAAGCCAAAGTGGCGTTGGGCACATTGCGGCACACTGCGGTGACGTGCCGTGACAAAAGCGTTCCCCGTGGAAAATGGCCCGAGCCGACCCCGCGGTCAGACCTCGTCGTTTGTCCGGGCCACGATGAGCAACCGGGATGGCGTGGCAGTGAGGTTGGACCTAGAGTACTTTAGACAAACGGTGCCGGTTTCTACAGTGGTGGCCCAGCTACACGTACAAGGATCTAAGGTGGAGCCGGCAGGGCGTCTGGGGTCAAAGCACAGACTGAGCAGCACGCCAAAAAAGGAGCGGAACTAAGTTGCGAATTCCCTCGAAGGTAAACGAACTGTCTCAAATGCGGCGGTGGTTGGTGAGGGATACGAAGTTGTGGGCTTTGAATATAGATGAGGACGTTCCTCTTTGTTCGATGACCAAACAATCAAAACAATTACAGTCGCATTCAATTTTAAATTAACCCTTAATATTGCAGGCATTATGGAAATTGACTCTGATCACACCCAACAATGTATGCTAACCGCATTGAATGTGGGTTCCAAATTGAACGAAAACATTTCATCTCTTTGTAAGAGGGATTCTTCTCAAAATATCATCACCGCCACATTAGACACTTGCAATTTTTTCAACTTTAAAACCGGCGTTGCAAAAATAATTTTCAAATGAAGGGGCTTGGTATCGCTGTCTTTAAAAGGCGGTGTGTTCTTTTCCGACAACGGCTTACTTGACTTTTCGAGGACCGCGCTGTCAAAGGGTGGCTATTGCTGCTAGTGCCCCGTGCTTTTACACCCCGCCGGCTCCAGGCTCTGCCGTCCTGCTGCCCGCGGCCTGCGGGGCAGGTTGCTGCGCGCTGCTGCGCCGCCCCGCCGTCCTCCGTGCCCAACCAAACCTTGTCGGCGAACACAGCCCGCACGGCAGCACGGCCCAGCAACCTGCTCGCGCCACTACGCGGCGTGCCCCGGGGCCCAGGACCGGATCCGGGACCAGGTCCTCGGGGCCCACACCTTCTTCTCGACCTTCTTCACCTTCCGTCGGGTCCGCATGGAGCGTGCTGGTGGTACTGGCGGTGCTGGGGTAGGGCGGCCGCGGCCGCGGGGCACCCGTTGTCATGTCGTACTGGCCGGGCTGGCCGAGCGGCGGCGGCCCGGGCCCGGGGGGGCTCGGGGGCCCTGGGCTTGGCGGGCCTGGGCTCGGGGGCCCTACGGGGGCCGGGCTTAGAGGGGGCTTCGAGGTCTCACCACCCCCACCCCCCTCGGAACGTCCACCGCCGACGCGGCTCGGCGATCGCCCTGGGAGGAGAGCAAGACGAGGGTAGGGGCGGAGGCGGTAGAATAACACAGACAGGCAGAGAAAGAACAGACAGACACAGACAGACAGACAGACAGACAGACAGACAGACAGACAGACAGACAGACAGGCAACAATGCACAACGCCACAACGGCTAGACCTCTACTGTGGCTCGTGCATTTTGCCTGTTACCTGGATTTGAGTCTTGGACACGGGCCTCTAGAGGGGGCCCTCCAAGCAGCTCGTGGCTCTACAGTGTGCCGGGCGCGGCTGCTTGGAGGGCCCCTTGGACGTCCCCCTGGCCTACGCCCGGGCCCGGGTGCCCTGCCGGCTGATTCCGCACTTCTGTCTCCCTCGCACGCACGGGGCACCCGGCACAGGTGCGAGAGGGACAGACGAAGCCCGTAATCAGCCCTCTGGAAAGGCAGTGGGGCAGTGGGGGTGGCAGCTCCGGCGGCGGGGCGTCGACTCCGGTAAAAGTTTGATGGGTGCGAAGCGCGACGGCAGCGACGGCAGCGCCACGGTCGAAGGTTCAAGGGCGGTCTGGCGGCCTGCCGGCCCTGTGCCCGCCCTGTGCCAGCCTTGTGCCGGCCCGGGACGCTCCTGGACGAGGGACTGGATGGGCTGCCCGGCGGCCCGGTCCAGCTGGTCCAGGCCAAGAGCGCAGAGAGCGCACGGCGGCACTGCCTCGTTGCAAAAGCATCTCGCGGTCGATGCACGATGCCGTGGCCTGCCTGCTACACTGCAAAAAGCACTGCTCCCCTTTCTCCACTCGACTCACCCAGGGTGCGAAACACTATCTGCCGCGAGCGAAACCGCCTGCCCGCTCGGAAGGCCTGCACCCACATCTGGTACTGCGTGTCCGGCAGCAGCTGGTCCAGGACGACGGACTCGGAGTTGCCCGCCACCACGATGACCACCTTGAAGCTGCGGAGGAGCAGGTCAGTGTCAGTGTGCGGCTCTCGAAAAGCTTTGCGACGCAGAGCCAAAGCAGCTCCATTCGGGAAGGGATTTTCTCAGAACATCCATTGCTCGTTTGTCCCGGAGACCTTAACGCCACGACGCCGTGCCTGAGGCCAAGGGGTCAACGACTCGAGATATTCGGTGTACAAGTTGCTGGTAATCAGCAATAATCAGCAGAATATTCAAAGTATTCAAACGTATTCACCCATATTCAATGATATTCATTGATATTCAATTATTCAAACATAATCTTTAATATTCAACATATTCACAACAATCACACGTAATCACCATAATAATCCATAATATGCAATATTTTCACGATAATCAGCCGTGATCGTCACGAATTGGGTCTACTGTGACGTCACAGGGCGTATTTGCTGCTGCGTATTGCTCCTCTGACTGGCCTTAGTGTCTGGACGCTGATCCTAGGTGTGCACCTGTCGTTACGAATGGATATCTTGACTGTTAGTGAATATTTTAATTATTGCATGAATATTTTGAATACGGTGTGAATATGGTGAATATTCTGAATACGGTGTGAATATAGTGAATATGGGGAGAATATTGCCCAATTTTGGCTGCGTCAGTGCAAAGTTTGGAATAGTTGCAGCACAGATGCAGCTAAAATTAGGCACTATTCTCCCCATATTCACCATATTCACGCCGTATTCAGAATATTTTCACCCTATTCAATATATTCATGCAGTAATCAACATATTCGTACGATAATCAAAATATTCACATGTAATCAAAATATTCACTCATAATCAAGGTATTCATTCATAATCAAAACTATTCATGCATAATCAAAATATTCAATCGTAATCTAAATATTCAGTATATTCACGATAATCTGGGTATTCGGTGTACGCCAAAATTTTGAGTCGTTGACCCCTTGCCTGAGGCGGCCTGAGGCGGCCTGAGGCGGCCTGAGGCGGCCTGAGGCGGCCTGAGGCGGCCTGAGGCCTCCCAGACCGGGCCGGACCGGGCGAGCAGATGGCCGTTCGCGCCACACGGCGGCGCCAAGGCGTAGCGCATCGCCGAGACAGCCTCCACTTGAAAGTTGCCGCCAAAACGGAGCTTCGCCATTGGCTGGCCATCTCGGCGGCCACGCCCACCGCCAGTGTGGCGCCGGCCGCGGTCGTCGCTCTGCCTCTCCCGCACTCGCGATGCGTCTCGGAGCGAGAGAGGCAGAGCGACTGTGTGGGGGCAGGTCGAAGAGCGCACCTCGCATCGGTCGGCTTGTACGTCACGTCGTACTTCTCGACGTTGTCCATGTTGACGGTCCAGTTGACGTGCACCGAGGTGTGGCTGAGGAACATGACGGTGATGTTGGAGGGGGCGCCGTCGCTGGGCCCGGCCCCGCCCCTGGGCATACACCCTGCAACACACATCACCTGGCTTATCTCCAAGTGGGGCCAGAAAATAATCCACTTCTCCGAATAGGAGCACGCGGGCCCTGCATTCTAGGAATCCGCTGCTGCATGATGAGGTGACTCGGGTCTCTTCGCGTCTCTTGATCAGGCGTCTCAGGTGTTCGGTGTCATTGGTCCTACGCCTCGTGTTTCAATTCCTCCTTCAGAGCGAGTCACTATTTTGAGAAGCTATAGCACGGTAATACTAGTGGGCCAGAAGATCGGTGGAGGAGACCAAAATTCTAAACGCGTTTGGAGTATCCGAGTCGCTGAATAGGGCCCAAACCGAACGCGTGACCCCACTAATGAATTCCTCGTTCGGAGAGCAATCCGTTGGTGGGGTCACACGTTCGGTTTGAGTCTCATTTCGCGACTCTGGAGCTCAAAACGCGTGCGGGATTTTGGCCGCCTCCGCCGGACTTCTGGCACACTGTGCGAAAGTGGAGTCGTACTGACCAACGAATGACACGCCGGTCAGTAGGAGCAGCAGCACCCACTGGAGCATACTAGGCATACGGGCGGGCGCGGGGCGTCGCCATGCCACGCCACGGCTACAGCATGGCTACAGCAGCGGCGGGGTCCCCGCCCTGGGCACCCTGGGGCCCACGCCGGCCTCGCGGGCAGCCTCGCGGCCGGCAAGGGAGGCGCCCGGGCCCGCGGTCGGCGTCGGCGACGGCCACCCCATCACCTGTGGACACAACAACAAGCACTCCGTTAGGACGAGCCGCTCGGCGCGCCGCGCGAGGACGCCGTCGTCGCCCCTGGGTCTCTCCACGCGGCCGCCGCGCCGCCGGCGATACCCCACGCGCACGAAAGGCGGCGAGGAGTATCGCCGTGCCGTGAGTGGCCGAGTGGCCGCGCCGCAGCGCGCGGGGTATCGCCGCCCCAGGCAGCGGCGGGGGCACGTCAGGTGGCGCGCGGGGTGCGCCGCCCCCTCCCCCCCCCCACCCCTCCCTCCCTCCCTGGGCAGCGTGCACCAGCCGGACGTAAATATAGGGAAAGGATGATAAACACCGCCGTGGTGAGTTGGTATTCCCGAGCAACGGCCTCCCCCTCCCCCTCCCCCTTATCAGCTCGGAAGTAATCGCGACCCCCTGCCCCCTCACCCTCCCCCAGGGAGCTTATTCAGTGTATGCCATTCAGCGTCAGCACATGCCGCGCCGAGACGGGCGGGCAGCGGGGCAGCGGGGCAGCGGGGCAGCGGGGCAGCGGGGCAGCGGGGCAGCGGGGCAGTGGGGCAGCTTGCCGGAAAAAGGGCTAAATCAATGGCGGACGCAAAGAGTCGGCTCCCCGGCGGCGGCAAAAGCGCGCCAAAAAAGGGCCAGCGTTGTCGCAATCGGGCAAGGCCACCGAAAATAGTTGAACGCGGCCAGAAACCCCAGCGTCGGTGAACCCGGTGAACAGCGTTTTTTCTTCCCTTCTGAAGTTCTAACGAAGTTGACACTTTCATTGCGTCTCTGTCCAGTGTGTTTGTGTGCGTATGTGTGTGTACGCAGGCGTAGTACACGTAAATTTATGTGCACCCTGGCGTGTGTTTTTGCACTTGCTGTAGGCAGAGCCGAGGTTCCGGCCCTTCGTGTTTCATCTAATACACGCACCGCGCCCATTCCCCCCCCCCCCCTCTCTCTCTCTCTCTCCTCTCTCTCTCTCTCTCTCTCTCTCTCTCTCTCTCTCTCTCTCTCTCTCTCGCTCTCTCACACACATAGATGCGGCCCATGGCAGCCGCATTAATAATGCACGGCTAGCGGCCATAAAGCCATAGACTGCGGAGGAGCGATTCATTAGCCAAAGACCGTTGCGTGGCGTGGCGCGGCGTGGCGTGGCGTGGCGAGGCGTGGCGTGGCGTGGCGTGGCGCTCGGCTGCGGTGCGGCGACCGCGATGTGCGAGCGTTATAGTGGCCGTTCCCATATTATGACGTAACAGCAATGTTGCGGGTGCCTCCCTCTCACTTTCTCGCACACGTCGACAGTCGATTGGAAATGCAGTTTTCGGCCGTTCCCGCCGCTGCTTTGACGTTGTGAATAGAGGCGCGTCAAAGGTGCGGCGGTCGCGTGGAGGTAAAATATAAACCGAAAACAAAAAAAAAAGCTAGCATTGACTTTGGCGTTGAGCGAAGGGCAGCTGCAGCAGGCTGGGCCGCCTGGGTGCGCCGTAACGCTGCTCACGCTGCACGCGCTGATGCCCCCTTTTTGCCCCTTTTCCGCTTCGTGTAATTGGATGCAAAAGCGCGGGAGGCGAGCGTGCGTCGCGTTTATGGCTTCGAGCAGGGCGGGGTGAAGCCGGGCGGGACACGGCTTTTTTCCTAAGTTTTTGAATGGTTTTCATTTTTGCCAGAATTACGTTACGTACACACGTGGACCCTTGTAGGCTTGGTTACAATATTTTGTAGATAGTGGTTAGGTAGGTTTGATTCCACGAGGCGGTGGGGTGGGCTGTAGCGCCTGCGAATCTCAGCATAGGCAACACGCTCGACACCCGTGCCGCCAGCCACCCGTGTTGCCTGCCTCGCGGGCGGTACCATTACCATTAAGGGCTAGACCACACATGATCGTATGCCATTTCGGGCCCGACACACGCTCGCCTGCACTGCAAAAGGCTGCTTGTCCCGGCCCGGCCTGACGTACGTCGCCCCGCGGCGGGCTGTCGCACTACGTGCAGTGTCTGGGCGGGGCGGGGCGGGGAGCACAATGCATCGCGGCCGCCACGCCACGCCGCGGCACAACGTCCGACGTGCCATCCTGACAGTTGTTACTCCGTGGACCCCGCGCCGCTCCGCCATGGCTCCGCCCTGCCTGTCGGTCCTTGGTGACAGCGTGCGGCACAGTGGTGGCCCGTTGGCCTGCTGGCCGGGTGGTGCACCGACCCTGGGCGAGCCAGCCCCTCCGTACCGCCCCGGACGGACCGAGGCCTCTCACACATACATAACCAATTTGCCATTTACCTGCCGCTGCTACCGTGAGCGAATTTTCGGAGTCGCCGAGCTGACTCGAACATCAAGGACACAAGTATGCCTGCCTCCCCTGCTTCCTCTGTATCGTCAACGTGTGTGTGTGGGGGGGGGGGGGGGGCTGCTAGAGAGTCGGCGAAGGAAATGACGCTCAAGGAAGGATACGCAGTGGTGTGTGTTGTGTGTGTGTGTGTGCGTATGTGTGTGTGTGTGTCACTGGAATCAGGCTGCTCATCCAGGTGGAGCTCCACTACACATACACGCGTCCGCGACGCGAATAAAGCTGATCGGATCAGTGCGCCCTCCTCCTCCCTCCCCTCCCCCCCCCCTTTTCCCCACTCGCCACTTCCCCACCCGAAGTTCTAGCGCATCAACTACCGAGACAACCATCATCGCTAATGCCGGGGAGCGATATTCTGAGCTCCACCGCGCATGCAACTTCCTTTCCATTGTTTTCATGGCGTGACAATTAATCCAGTTGGAACGCCCCAAAACATGTTGCCGTGTTGTTGAAGGATGTCAAACATCCTTCAACAGAAACCGGCCAGGCTGAAGCAGTGAATCGCCAGTAACCTCCGCCCCCTCCGGGCGAGGGTAGTGGTGGCCCGGCTGGCCCCGATAGACGTGCGGCCGTTGATAAGCCCGGGGATGTCAATGGAGGGCATGGAGTGGAGGGGTATCGCAATCACTATCCCGGCCGACGGACGACGCCGCGACGCCGCCATAACATTCCCGCCGTTTTCATATCGACATTTCCGTTCGAATGAAACACATCGACGAACATCTTCTGCCAACGGGGACCAGTGCCGGTTTTTCACAGCCCTTAACGGTGTGCCGGAGGTGCCTGACGGCGCTGCTCGCCACGCAGCCAGGGATCCTTAACTTAACTCAACATTTAGCTAACACTGCTGTCATAACGTAACATAAGACAATGTTCGCTATAGGTTAAGGGTACGGACTTATGAAAGTACTTGCAAAAGTATATCCACACAAATTCGAGACATAAAAAAATAACTTACCCTTTTAAAAAGATGTTAGTAGTTAAGGGTAATAACTTTAACTCTTATGATAACGTTATGATGCCCTTATGAGGTAAGTTAAGGATCCCTGCACGCAGCGGAGCCATGCCCCCCCCCCTCTCGCCAGCGGATTAACCATAGTTAACCGTAGTTAATCCGTCAGCCCATTGTGGCGCCGCCTCTCGATTCGAAACGAGGGGAACGTGGCTCGCGACGCGTCGCGGCACCACCGGCCGGGCCCGGAACTTTACCGCGCAGTCACAACTTTTAGTTAGGTTATCTATCAAGAGCGCGGCCCGGGGCCCCCGGGGGCGTCTTGACACACTGGGCGTCACCTCTCGCATAGTGGGGCGCCAGTGACGCGCCCCGACACTCCTGTCTCGGGTGGAGCCCTCTTTGGGGCCATGAGGTTCAGTTTAGGAATTTCGGAATTTAGAATGTGACACATGTTTCGAGCCTTTCTTTTTTTAGTTTTGACGAAAATCTTTAGAAAAAGTTGATTGGGCCGGAGGCACGGGTCTGGAACACTGGCGGTCAAATTGCGCCCTAGTGGGCGCCTGTACGCCCTGACAGCCTAGTCTCGGTTGATGCCCTTGGGGCCAGGGTAGTTATGGAATTTCAAGCAAAATTTTATGTGACCAACATGTTTCGAGCCCTTTTTAGTGCGAAATCGTTTACGCTAAATAATTATTTTGGCCATAAAATGTACTGAAAGAATACAGCTGCAGTGAGTCCTCAGGCGCGGCAGACACTCTGCAAACGTCTCAGACGTTGTTTCTCGGGCCACTGGCGCTGTCATTGGCTACGTCACTTGCACACTGTCTGGCCGAGACTGACCGAGCCACGGCCCAGATTCGCCAACAGTGGCGGCCAGGCCCGGCCAGCCAGGCCCCGCGGCGCAGGGCCCCACACTGGCGCGCCGCTGCCATCACCAAGGCAACCCTCCAGGACGGTCTTGTAACAATGTTATCTCATCGATTGGTCTATTTTCCAGGAAGTGGGCCCGGCGTGTGTGTCCCAGGCGAGCCAGCAGCAGCGGCGTCACAGCCAAACAACTCGTTTTTGCTCTCCCCTAGTAGAAAAAAAGAATATAAAAAGAACAGAAATATTCCGGACAAATTTTGAAGCGATTTTTTGAATAACAGTATTTTTTATTCATTCTCCTGCTCGTAAAAATCGGGGGAAAAATGGAGCCAGTCGGTACCCAGTCGGTACCCCACGCCTCGAGGCTTCGTGCTTCCGGTGGACACTGAGGGGTGAAGGGAGTGGGAGACGCACGACGCGGCACGGCGCCTCCACCGCACCGCGCCTTTAAACCGACGACTTATCAATAAAACATGTTTTCGCAAACAAAACCCTTTTAGCGCCAAAACCCGCTCCTCTCCCTCCCCTAGTCACCCTCCCCGTGCTACCCCCCCCCCCCCCCCCTGCCGCATTCTGCGGTCCCCGCGGTGAGTCGCGGCTCCGCGTTCGAATCACAAACTGAGCCGCGCTGCGCCAAAATCAAAACTTGCTTTTAAAAGTCGTGAAAGTCGCGGTAAAGTTGTCGAGTTGCACGGTCGCTGTTAACAGGACTCCTCTCGTCGGCCAACGCAGCAACGGCCAGCTTTGACATGTATATGTGGC